AAACACTTGAAGTAATTGTGTAAACTCAGAGTAGAGAACTTTTTTTCCCAGCTGGGAATCTGATATAGCTTCCTGGAAAAGGTGACATTTCACTTGGGCTTTTATAACAGGTAGAAATGGAAGGTGGAGGTAGATGGGTGAACACTGTGGGAAAGAAGTTGAGTTAAATCAGAGGTCAGAGAAGAAAGGACATGGATCCACACATCAGAGAATCTGAAGATGGCACTGAGGTAAAAGGTGAGCTGAGAATAATATATGAGCAAGTACATATTCTCAGACAAGTTTTGCTCGTAATAATAGGGAACCAGGCAAGGAGTAACACATAAAAACAAACAAAAGGCCCTTAAAGTTTGAAGAATCCTGGGAATCTGATAGGGATTGTGTTTTTAACTGACACAGAGGAGGGGCTGGCCATACCTGTAAGTTTTTTCCAGCAAAACACATGACCAAGAAAGGCACACATGAATGTGGGCTGGGAGTGGGACTGGTGGGCTGCTGTCCATTGCAGGGCCTCTTCTTCCTGATTACAGGAAAGCTTTGTTGTCTTCCTGAGTCATCTACAACACTTAGAGTTGTTATTGCAGTTTTAGAATTTGGGAAAACATTAATGACAAATGCAAAAACAAAATGATTATATAAAAACTAAGTTAAATGCTTTACAAAGTTGCTAACAAGAAATCACAAATTATTACTGGATGTGATTGTCAAAAATGAAAGATTTCCTAGAGATAAATGGTAAAACAACAAAACAATCTGAGTGCTGGAGAGATGGCTCAGCAGTTAAGAGTTCTTGCTGCTCTTCCAGAGAAGCAGAGTTGGGCTCCCAGCACCCAAAGCAGAAGTTTACAGCTCCCTCATCTGGCAGGTATGCAGATGCACACAACATTCATAAACACACATGTCTATGAACAACAGCAAACTGAAAGCAGTTAACTTTGCTTGTTTAACAAGTACATTAATATTTTTCCACTCTCAAAGCCTGGAATTAGAGAATTTCCATCCAGATAGATTAAGTGTGGTTTATGACCAAACAGTATGAACTGCATTTAAAAGGCCTCAGGCTTTCAAAAGACTAGAGAATTGATAAACATTTAGATTCTGCAAATAAAATCATGGAGGTAGATATTATTAAATTTCTGAAACCATTTTATTTTTAATTGATCATCTAATTTTAAATTGTTGTCTTTCTGAACGTTGGGAATATGTTCAGTAAGACAGCTTTCTTCCTAGCCTCATTGCTTCACAACAGGAAGGAAGAATTTGACAGCTTCCATTCACAGGGCAGATTCCACCCAGGGTACTGAAGAGCAGTCTTCACACACACTGAAATTCATCTTGCTTTGTTGTCTCATACTAATATTTTCAGTTGTGCAATCAGAACTAATCACAAAGTCTCAATGAACATGAAATAATTCAGCAAAGTAGCGAACATTTCTTACCGTCTATTTGGGGAATAATGCTTCTACCTATAATGTCTCATTTTTTCTGTTCAATTAAGTTAGAGCACTGCTATCTGGGGAAGAGACTGGTGGTTGCCTAAGCAAACTGTCCATTTTTTGAATGACAGAGACCAATTTTCCTAGACATGGCCCTGAGTCCAGATGAGGGATGACAGTTCTTAGCCTCCCTTGCAAGCTTGAGAGATCACATGTGATGCTCACTTCAAGGAGTGAATGCAAATGTGCAAGTTGTTAAACTCAGGAAAGCTTCTCTAAAAAGATAACAGTCAGCTGGATTTGCTTTTTTCCCACAAGTCAACTTACTGAAGGTAGCATGAATTAATGAGAAAGCAGAAAGATGGGCACTTGAGTGCATGAGGACAGTTGGCTGTGGCCTCATCACCAGTTTTTGTATCTAAGAAGTGGAAAATAATTCACTCCCTTTGCCATGTACATGAAAGAACGAGGAGGTGGGGAGGAGAGAAGGAAGAAAATGTAAGAAGCAAAAAAACCTCACTCACTGAAGCCATGTTGTCTAGGACTTTTAGCTCTATGAAACCATGGTTTTTCCAGATATAGGAAGTGACTTAAAACAGGTATTATACCCACAAACAGATTCTGGGCAGTTAACCTTTTAACAACATTTTATTATGCACTTCATTTTTAATTATGTGTATTGTGCGCATGAGTGAAGGTGCCTACAGAGGTCAGAAGAAGGAGATAGATAACCCGGAGCTGGAATTAGAGATAGTTGTGAGCTGCCTAGTTTTGGGTGCTGGGGACTAAACTTGGGTCCTCTGGAAGAGCTACAAGTGCTCTGGAAACCACCAAACCATCTCAACTCCACAATCAATCTTTATGAATATGATTAGAAAACAATTAACAGTAAATTTCAATTTCATTACCTGATGTGTTCCATGTTATGCCAAAGAAAAAGTGTTCTAATACAGAACCGAGAGGAACAATGTTTTCAGAATTCACAGGGAACTGCCAGAAGTCTGCCCTAGGATGCTTAAATCACTGACCAGATCAACCCACAAAACACTGACAGACCAAAGGCATAGCCACTGTCAGGAGAGAAAATAGGTAAGGATAATACTGAAAAAAAAAAGTCTATATAGAACACCCATTTTTTGCAAAATTAAAGAGAAATTTATTATATATGCCCATAAGGGTGTTCCATGAAACGTTAAACAAGATTTTATTTTCTGAAACAGATTTCAGTGCAGAAGGAGCAAATGAGATGCAAAGATAAGTGTTGAGTACATTGAAAATAGGATCACACTGAGCTCCTTGTGTGTGCTGATGCCAGGGCTCAGGATTCCTGGGGTCTTGGCAGTCTTCTACAGTGTGAACTTCACACCCTGCAGATTCTCATGCAGTCCCACGAGGCCTACTGCTTAAGTTGTGTAATAAAGTTCCTAAGTATGAACCTACAAAGAATAAAGTCTCAGTTCACTGTTTCCTTTATTCACAGACACAACACATTGGTGCCATTCATTTCCCTTACTTGTTGGATTGCAGTAAGTTACATTCTTTAAGTTAAAGGGTTTGTTTTTTTTTTTGACTAGTAAGGTAATAATATGTGTATTTCAATTTTCCACTTTTACAAGTCAATCAGAAAAAGAAACATTTCACCACATGATGTTAGAGAATTAAATGTACCAACTACCCAGGTACATTCAGTGTCTATGTACAGTGCCATGCAAGACAGGTTCTCAATATTTGCTGACTGTGCAACATCCACCCCAGGACTGTGGACATGAGCTTCTCCAGTAACTGTCCATCACAGCCTAACAGAACTCCTTGGGGAGAAAGTCACAACTATCCCTGGTTCCAAAGGGACACGGCACAGCATAGTAGGATGTGTGAAAAGTCAAAATCAATGAATCATAAAGAAAATGATCATTTTCTTGAAGACAGCAACTTTTTTTTTCCAGAAAAGTAGTGGTTATTCACAAGATCCAAACACAAATCCTTTTTCAATCGCTGGAGTGGTAGATGAAAGTATAGTTACAGTATAGCTTAGGGATTAAGAAACAGAGCCAAAATTTAGGGGTATTGGCAGGTATCTTGGGATCCATTCTTACCCATTCACCAAAAGTGAACAAATTATCACTCTTGATTCTATACTTATTTACCTGTGTGGTAGTTTGAATGAGAACGGCCCCCATGGCTTCAGATATTTGAATGCTTGGTCCCAAGCTGGTGGAGCTATTTTGAGAAAGATTAGGACGTATGGCCTTGATGGACATATGTCCCTAGGTGTGGGCGTTACGGTTTCAAAAGCCCACTGCAGGTCCAGTCTCTCTCTCTGTCTGTCTCTGTCTCTCTTTTCTCCTACTTGCAGGTAAGATGTAAGCTCTCAGCTACTGCTCCAATGTCTACATGCTTGCTGCTGCCATACTCCCTGCCATAATGGTCATGAACTCAGCCTCTGAAATTGTAAGCAAGTCCCCAATTAAACACTTTCTTTTATAAATTGCCTTGGCCATGGTGACTCTTCACAGCCAATAGAAAAGTAACTAAGATAGACTCTAACATAAGAATAACAGTATTATTTTAGGAAGATTAATTAATTAGTAAAAGTTCTAAGACTAGTGCTTGGAGACATACAAAAATCTCCTTAAATGGAAGTTATAACAAAATCCATCTTACTCATCAGGAAGAACTTCAAGAAAATAAAATGACATGAAATACAAAAAAATCAGGGTAAAAGAGAGGAAAAAGTCCCAAGATTACTGTTTTCAGGGTTGTTTTATGATGTTTAATCTTGTTTGTCATCTTGATGGGATTTAGAATCACCATGGGAGCTGGGTAGTGGTGGCGCTCTGAGCTTGAGGCTAGCCTGGTCTACACAGCAAATTCCAGGACAGCCAGAACTGCACAGAGAAACCCTGTCTCAAAACAAACAAACAATCACCATGGGAATAAAACCACTGGGTGTTATTCATAAGGGACTCTAGACTGGGTGGCATCAGTCTATGGGCTGCAGGTCCTAGATGGAGAAGGGAGAAAATTCTGAGTTGTTAGTGACAGTAGTTACAATGTGGGCAGCTGCCACAGGCTCCTGACACCAAATCTTCCCCACCATGTTCCTTTGAACTGGGAACCAACAGAAATCTTTCATTAAGTTACTTTGGTCCAGTTATTTGTCACAACAAAGGAAAAATTAATAACGCAATGTATATTTTAGAAAAATCAGCATTCTTGTTATTTCAAATTAACCTACTGAGAAACTTCAGAGCTTCCTTGATTTTTCCCAGCTCTAGTCAGTATGTCCAACATAGTACAAACTCATTCTTATTTAAATATTTGAATTTGTGATTGTACTTCTGGCTTAATGATCACACACCTATGATCCCAGCTAATCAGAAGCTGGAAAACTGCAAATTTGATACTAGCAATTTAGCAAGACTCTGTCTTAAAAATAATGAACAAATGAATAATTAAGTATATAAAATACATAATAATCATCCATGGATTATTTTATTGATTGAAGCAATTTGCTGAGATTAGTTAATAAAAGTTTTCATATTAAAGAAAATATAAAGAAAACTTCCTGAATTATTTTGTAAAATAAGAGTATATAACTGAAGGTAGGTATGTGTGTGTACATGAATATACATATATATATGTACATGTACACACACATACCTATGGATTACAGTTGTTATTTCTCTTATACACAATGTTGTCTCCTAACTTAAAGAGGTGTAAAGCTCCCAAACAATTGCTCAGCACATACTGAGGATCAGTTAATTCAAAAGATGTTTTTGTCAATGTTGTTTTTCTTGTTTGTAGTAATTACATAGACTTTCTAAGCTGAACATCCCTAATTTGAAAACAGAAAACTTTTGAGTGACTTTGCCCAAAAAGTTTCAGGTTTCAGAGCATTTCAGACTCTGTTAAATATCTCTAATAATCCTCACAGAGTACAAATTTGTTCCTGTTTCAATATTTGACTTGTATTTTGTGGCTATAGTTCTGGCTCAATTATTTAAATAATTTCAGATTTCAGAGAATTTGGGGTTGCAGATTTTAGGACACTTATCCTATACCTTAACTGGTTTTTGTTTAATTACTGAATTTAAAACTCTACACAAAATAGAAATATACACAGAAATGTAGCTGGACAATGAGGAATAACTTCTAATGTTCTGTAGCCCAAAGAGAATATGGGTTGAAAACAATTTTATTTCCAAGTAGCTGATAGAATTTTGAATGTTCCAACATGAAGACATGATTAGGATGATGGATAGGCTAGTTATCCTGATCATATATACACTATATATATGTACTGATATGTACAACTATGCTTCATAAACGTCTTGTCCTTTGACATCCACATGAGTGCTGTGGCACACATGTACATGTATACAAAGTAAAGAAAAAACTTAAAAGTAGATGTTGAAAACCCACTAAACTGCATCTTAATTAAGAATAATTATATCAGCTAGGTTTGGTGATATAATCTGAAATCATAGCACTCTGGAGCCTGAGGCAAGAGGACTATGAGTTTAAGGCCAGCCCAGGCTACAAAGCAAGAAATTGTCTCTAAATAAATAAAATAAAATTAATAAATTAAAAAGGTTATAGTGTTCGACAGAGCTAGTCCAGGGTCTATACTGCCACTAGCATATGCTTCAATTCATTATTACACAGCCTTTCTGAACTTGAAAGATGAAAAAGACAAATGATTTTTAAATAGCATAAAAAGAAGTTAGGGACACTAAACATTCTGTAAGGAAGCTCTAAAATCATACACACATACTCACATGCAGCTTAGCCTCACGTATTCTCCAAGTATAGAAGTCAAGACTGGTATGGACAGGATCAGATTCTATGAAAAAAAATTTAAACAGGAAAGAAACCAAGATAAAACTTCTTTTTGTTCCTAAAACAGTATTCATGCAACTGATAAAAGTCTGCCAGCATATTCTGTGTTGGCTAGCTTTGGGGTATTAGAAGGCGCTGTGCAGGCTCCTGTAGTAGGAAAGTAACCACAAGTTTTACCTACTGTTAATCTGGTTAGCTACGATAATGACCAGCTTAGCAAGTTATGCCCATGGATGCAGTAGGAGCATGAATGTTACAGGGTGACTGCCTTGTAGGTGGATCTAAGGTTCATTTCATGTAACGGTCAGGGTTCTGTAGAGGAACAGAACAGGCAGAATGAATCTATATCTATATCTACATATCAATATATGGGATTTATTAAAGTGGCTTACAGGCTGTGATCCATCTAGTCCAACAATGATTATCTACCAACAAAAAGTCCAAGAATCCAGTAGTTGTTCAGTCCACAAGGCTGCATGTATCAGATGGTCTTCAGTATACATTGGAACCTGAAGAAGTAGGATCTAATGCCATAAAAGGAATTAAGTTGCCTGTGAGAGCAGGGGCAAGCAGCAAAGAGCAAGTGCTTTCTTCCTCCATGGCCTTTATCCAGGCAGCCACCAGAAAGTTTGGCCCAGATTTAAGGTGGATTTTCCCACCTCAAAAAATTCAGATTAGAGGTGGGTCTTCCAATTTCAAATACTTTGATAAGAAAAAAATCCCTCACAGTGTACCCAGCCACTTAGATTTTAGTTAATTCCAGATGTAGTCATGTTGACAACCAAAAATAGCTATCACACTCCACAAAAGGAAACTAATGCTTGGTAAACCTGGGCAAGTACTCATGGCAATGGAACTCACAGGCCTGCGAAAAGAACCTATTACTATTATTCTCCTAAATGGAGATAATATGAAGATGTCTTTTAAGTAGGCATCTCTCTGCCCATACAATAGCACAGCTCTCAGATCTCATCAGAGAAACATCTTTGTGAGTGTGCTGTGGAAAACGCATATAAACAAAAGGAAAAGTGCAGAGAATAAGCATCATTGGAATGCTGAGGCACAGATGGGACAACCCTCTTCCCAAAAGTCTCAGAGAAAAATCTCAGAGGGGGGGATGTTTAAAAGCCATAGGTTAGGAAAGACTGGGGAAAAACAGTGTCTTCTTAGACATGACAGGAACATTGTACTCATGGCAGCTGTGGTTACCTGCACAAGATCATTCCAGTCAATAGTCTAGAATGGATGGGGAGTGGGGGCACACAATCTCTCATCACTATTCTATTAAGAGTTGATGGCTTCTAGGGCAGGTAGAATCAGTTTTATTTAGAGGTATAGTCTTTGATAGGCTGACCATGCTCTGATTTCACATCCATGTACTTATGGTTGGCACTAATTAAACTTAATGGGTTATCTTAATAAAAAAAAAAAAAAAGGATATGAAATTAGGATGGGGGCATGGTGTGGGGAAGGTCTGGGCAGAATTGTAGGAGCAGGCGACAAATATACAATCAAACTACATTGCATACATGAAATTCTCAAAGAATAAAATACACTTTTAAAAGTCTGTAAGTAATACTAGTCAGTTTTTGTTTCTAAAAATATTATTTTATTAAATAACTATTAAATAGGATTTTTATAAAACACGTTGCATAGAAAAGTATAAAAAGGTTTATACTGCCAGAACTCTATGTCTGCAGCATCTTGGGTCAGCAAGTCTTCACTTCTGGAAGCGGCCAGGAAGGAACAGAGTGGGGAGTCACCAGTCCTACTCCTTCCAGTATGTCTGGCGATGTCTCACAGTGAAGGCAGCCACTGATACTGCAGAGTCAGCATCATTCAGGGAGCAGCTGCTGTGCAAAGCTGGTCTCTGATCCAGATCTCCTGTGGATGGGGTCAGCTCTGGAGCAGAGTACCTCAAGGCTCAGGAATAGTTAAGCAGCTGTACAAGATTTTCAAGGCATTTCAAATAGTAGACATTTAGAGGGTTTTCTTCTGAATTGGAGAAAGCTGATATAGGAAAATAAGAATTATAAATACCAATTTATTAAACTTAATGCTACATATAGGGGTGGACACTCCTACATGAAGCTATGAAAAAGATTTATTAGCAAGCTATTTATGTTCTCGATAAACTAGAATTATAAAAATATTTTACATTTATAAAATTGAGATGTTAGAGAATTTTCATTCATTTCTTATCAATGGCTTATCTAGAGCATATTTAAGGCTACATCCCCACAACTCACATAAATTATAATTCAGAATAAATGCCATAATGTTTCTTACATACCATCTCTCTAAAATCATAAACTTTAACATAACCCAATTCCCCATTTCCTCCTGAAATGCAAGATAACAGCTAAAAACAAACCAAATACTCTCCTTTTCAGAAACAAACATTAACAGCAAACAGATCTACTACAGTACTGGAAATATATACTTTGTTATTTTGAGATAAAAGTGTTTGGAGCATAATGCTCATTGAAAACTGGCTTACTTAAAATGACCAACATGCTCTGAAAAGAAAACCTCTCAAATCATGATTGGAGATCACAGGGAAATGTGGTTACAGGGGCAACAGAATCTATGCCTGGAAGACTTCAGCTCTCTGATGCTAAATCAAAGTTTTCTCTTCAAGATCAATTCTTTTTTTTCTTTTTTTTTTTTTTTTTTTTCCATTTTTTGAGACAGGGTTTCTCTGTAGCTTTGCGCCTTTCCTGGGACTCGCTTGGTAGCCCAGGCTGGCCTTGAACTCACAGAGATCCACCTGGCTCTGCCTCCCAAGTGCTGGGATTAAAGGCGTGCGCCACCACCGCCCGGCAAGATCAATTCTAATTGGGTCCAATTCTTATCATCCAAAAACACTCTATAGCAGAGTAGCAGCTGATGGCAATCAATCAATCAATCAATCAATCAATCAATCAGGAGCAAGAAAAAAAGTGACTTAGAGAAAGATCACAGACACATTTTAAGAAACTTGTATTTCAAATACTCATCTTTCAGACATTTTATTATATTAAAAAACATTATCATGAAAAGCACGGGCTAAATGTGGGCCCATCTGATAGCACCTTGATAATATTTCTCAAAACCTAACTAAGCAATGCACAACACTGCCATTTTGCAATGGCCTGCTCAAATATTTCAGTAACCAGAAATTTCACTTAGTACTCATCACATTTAATTGTAATCTCTTAGAACTTACTTCTCTTTGCTATGGAATATGCTTCGTCTACTCTTCTTTTTATTGATGGATTTTTCAAAGTTGCTTTTGCCTGGAGAAGATAAAACAATCTGTTAGATTTATTCCCAAATATTAAGGATGAGGATAATGCAATACTAACTGCCTATTACTAACTACAGTGTTAAACAGGATAGAGTTAAGATACAGAAATATAGACAGTTAGATACTAGTTCAGCCTATTGTGTCAAGCCCACTGGACCTTCTGAGGCTTCCCCTCCATTTATCTCTAAGCTAACCGGGTCCCTTTTCTACAGTTTGCAACCTTTCCCTTTATTCTTACTCTCTCCCCTAACCTCAGTCTGTTACTTTTGAGTAATCATCCTTAGGGAATTTCTCATTTCCTCAAGTATTAAATTTCAGATTAAGTACTTCCAACATTACTGGTTGTTCAATAAATATTTACTGAGGGACTTCAAGATGCCCAAACTTCTGCTTATCCCATGCGAGAAGGATGCAAGAACCCCTTGGTCCAGGGTGAAGAGGAGCCACACAGGCATGGGTGGCTAGCTGAGGTAAGTCATCTCCAGGAAAACTATGTGCCCTAGCACTGCCATCTGGCTACGAATTTCCCCCTAGAAATTCTTGCGTATTTCACTTAGGAATGAAATGTTTGCAGTAAAAGAAGACCAGCGGCCAGAGAAGGAGAGGCCACAGTACCCCTTGCCTTCACTCTTCTGGGGAGCCCCTGTGCTTTGCTCCTAAAGGGACTGAAATCATTGTAAAATTAAGTGATGATATATACATAAGAAAGCCAAATCACATACATGGATAAAACTATTATTCAGTCTTCCATCAAGATGCATTTCTCCTGGGCACATTGTACAAAGAAATAATTTTTACTAAAATTACAACAAATTTACAATTTAATTGAAATTAAAAGGGAAATTCACTTAAACAGAAGTACTGTTCTGAATTGAGCCCTGGTGAAATAATTAAATGAAAATATTAACTGATAGATTATTAATCATATGAATGAACAAAGGGAACTCGGGTCTGCAAGTTCATTTTTACCTTTAGCTGGTATTCCTCTAATATTCTTGAATGCATCCGAAGAGTCTTAATTATTTCACTGCACCAACTCCCCTCCCTCCATTTCAAACAATGACTTTAAAAACTAACCTTTTGATAATTGTAAATTAGAGCCCAGAGTGAAGCCGCTCCGATCCTCTGGGCATTTTGATTCTCACTTTCTAAACAGGTAGCCAAAAGAGTAACAATTTTTTCTACAAATAAGCAAATTATAAAAGTTTAGTTCCACACACTTCACTGTATCTTATCTACGACAATAAACAGAATAACTGTCCATTAGAATAAAAACACAAATTGCTATCCTCAAATAACATCTTTTATAACTTGAGGCATGTGAAGGGGTATCTTAGAACAAACTTTTCATACTAGGTACAGATGATCTGGATGTCAGTGCTCTCTAAATTTTCTGGTCCAAGTTCAACACAAGTTTATGCATTGAAGGACAATAATGCAAAAGTAAGTATATTATGAATTATATTAAATTAATCTGTTACAGCTCCCATTTTCACATGTACAAAAATAGAGTATCTGTCATAAAAGCATAATCACCACTATACAAATATACTATAGAATGAGAATTTTGTATTTTACATCACAAAAAAATTTGACTTGATGGCATTTCAATATATAAGAAATGTTCGTTTTTGCAAAGCTATCAGAGGAGAGAATCAAGACTTACTAATTATGTATGCCAGTCTGATCTTTTTTCTTTTTTTTTTTTTTTTTGGTTTTTCGAGACAGGGTTTCTCTGTGTAGCTTTGCGCCTTTCCTGGAACTCGCTTTGGAGACCAGGCTGGCCTCGAACTCACAGAGATCCGCCTGGCTCTGCCTCTGAGTGCTGGGATTAAAGGCGTGCGCCATCACCGCCCGGCTGAGTCTGATCATTTTAAGTGAAGATTCAGAGGCATCTACTTCCAAGGCAATTGTCAAGATATTTCAAACAAAATTTAAACTTACTTTTATTATTTTCATATATCATTAAATTTCATTATTTTTCTCAGTTATATGATTTTTAAAACATTGTGTTTTTAAAGGTGAAACATTTGTTTCAGCAAACTATTTACACGTTAACCACCCAGCAGATCTAACTAAACTAGTACTGTTCTAGGAAAGATTGACCCCTGAGAACCAGACCCTCAACTGGCCTTGATAGTAAAAAGAGTGATTAATTTTGGACACCTGCATGGTCTTAAATATCCAGTGGGAAAGTATAACAAATGTTAACTCATTGATAATGATATAAATAAACAATGGGTCATGCTTTACATCTGGGCTACTGACGTGGTAAGTGGGGATAATCACAGCAACTCCAGATGTAACCAAATTAAAGAACTCACATGCTTTTCCTAACTAGGAACATGCTACCATTTATATGTTTTTGATAATCTTGCTAGTTTCTCCTTTACAAGATCCATAAGAATATACTAAAACCATACCAAACACCACCATCCCCTTGGCCAACAGTTCTAAAACTGGACCTCTGGATCTTCACCATAGAAATGTATTAAATATATTACAATCTTAATAGTGACACTATTAATGTCTGGACTTTGTGTATGCAACTGTTGTCTTAATTTTATCTACTCTCAGGTAAGCTGATCCACACTCATATGGTTCTGCTATACTCTCACTTCATCTACCTAGATCCCATGATTACCCACAAATGCCTGAAGGTCAGCAAGAATGGATACTCGAATGGCAACTGGAAGCAGTTAGATTGACTTGATGTCCATCTCTTAAATGATTTTAAGGTGGTGTCTCTTGAGGAGAGCACGTAAGACAGCTAGAAGATATCAACAGGCTTGGAGACCACTGAGGAAGGAATCCTCCCTCACAGCTTCCCTTCCTCCAAATTTTCTGATAGCAGAAACTGCCCCAAGATCTTTCAGATGAGGACACTGACCTTGCCCAACAGGAAGAGCTACAAGTAAAAGAACTGCTGCACCTTCTTCTCTACCTACCTATAGAAATAAGTATTAGCCATGATCATGCCCTTTAAAAAAGTTCTTCCATCTTGGTTACAATTTGCTGAAGTCACAGTAGTTAGCATTCCAGAACTAAACCCTAAATTCCTGCCAGACACACTACTGCAGATCCTGGATAATGGCTGGCCATAGGAGATGGTTACTGGCTACATACACTGTTTCACTCACTACTCACCATTCTTTGTTTACTAAAAGCAAAGGGCAATCTCAGGCCCCCAAAGGAATCTTTTCTACTTCTTTCCTGTCTCCTCCCCCTTCTCCCTTTAACTACCTCAGCATGTAAGCAGGTAGGCTTTAATTCTTGCAGAGACTCCTCTGCAGGTTTTCTCCCAAATAAAAGTCTTCCCTGTCTTAAAGGTGTGTGTGGGGGGGGGGGGGGGGGGGGGGGAGTCTCTTTAATGTATTCAAATCGCCCTGACACTATGTTATAGGGACTCAATAAATACTACCCGAATGAAAGTTCAACATCATAACATTTTGTTTAAATGATGTTGTGATTTGACTAAAAAATGTGCCCCACTCAGTCATGCTACTGTTAGGGAAGGTTGTAGAAACTCTAGGAGGTGGAGCCTTAAGAGCTATAGGAAGTATGTTAATGGAGGTAGGCTTTGAGGTTTTAAAGTTTAGCCCTACTTCCTGTCTCTACTTCCTATGTGGAAATAAAACATGACCATTATGGTTCCTGACTGTCAGGAGGGCCTGACATGTCATGTGTTCCCTACCATGATGGACTCTGTCCCTTCGGCTCTAATGCCTTCCCTACCATGATGGACTCTGTCCCTTCTGCTGTCATGTGTTCCCTACCATGATGGACTCTGTCCCTTCAGTTCTAATGCCTTCCTACCATAATGGACTCTGTCCCTTCGGCTCTAATGCCTTCCCTACCATGATGAACTCTGTCCCTTCTGCTGTCATGTCTTCCCTACCATGATGGACTCTGTCCCTTTGGTTCTAATGCCTTCCCTACCATGATGGACTCTGTCCCTTCTGCTGTCATGTCTTCCCTACCATGATGGACTCTGTCCCTTTGGTTCTAATGCCTTCCCTACCATGATGGACTCTGTCCCTTCTGCTGTCATGTCTTCCCTATCATGATAGACTCTGTCCCTTTGGTTCTAATGCCTTCCCTACCATGATGGACTCTGTCCCTTCGGTTCTAATGCCTTCCCTATCATGATAGACTCTGTCCCTTCTGCTGTAATGCCTTCCCTACCATGATGGACTCTGTCCCTTCGGCTCTAATACCTTCCCTACCATGATAAGAGTATATCCCTCCAGAACTGTAAGCCAAAATAAACCCTTTCTTCCCTAACTTGGTTTTTGTCAGGATATTTTATCACAGCAATGAAAAAGTAACTAATCCAAATGACATTTTTGGAAGGAATTCAAACTCTTTTGTAAGAAAAAGAAAAAAAAAAAAGTGTCCCACGAAGTTTAAACCAATTTGTGTGGTAGAATGACAAGGTGGTAGGCAGGTAAGGAACAGTCATGTTCTACCCACACAGCCCCCCTCCTGCCTGAATACCTCATGTGCATTACCCAACTCCCCATGGCTTTCCTATAAAATAGCCTATCCAAAATTAGTCTATATAAATAGCTATCAAATGTAATTTGGCATATGGATTGTGGGTGAATACATACAATATGAGGGTAATTTCATTTTGTTCCAACTGAGAATCATCAAGTAATTTTATATCCCAAAACATTCAGATAATATAATCCTGATGATTTAACTAAGTTTATATCATAACTTCTTTAACAAGTAGCTTTGACTTATCATTTTTAATAAACCACATTTATAAGTTAATTAATGCATTAGCCCTCTGTTAAAGTAAGTGAATAAAAAGTTTAAAGATAATACTTTATCATGAAATATAACATGCATACAAAAAAGCACATAAAACATTTTAAGTTCAAGAAGTTGGTGTGAATTCTAATTAAAACATAAGAACAGATAATAGGAAACTATAAATGATTATAAACCTAATTTTAAATACCTTTTTTTTTAAGTGACATAATAATTGTAAATGAATCAGCAAGAGTGAGATATAAATATGAAGAATTCAAGAAATGTGTTAATCAAGGTTGGTTTAGTGAGAAAGCTGAAAGACACATCAGTCAAATGAACATACCCTATATAGGACGTGAAACACACTCAGCATACTACTATCAGGTTCAAATTTACTGGGCAGAGATTAGATTACAATTCTATTCATCAAGTCATGACTGAATAACAATTACAAATTAACTGTGGGTATAAAAGTTTAAGAAAATAAATCAAGGGAAATTTTCTAAGAAGCAATTAGTCACAGCTTGGATAAATGATTTGTGCCTCAGTCAGTGCACATCAGAGAAGCTTCTTCTTGATGTGACTGTGGGGTTGTTCTATATTACTTTATTATGTTGCTTGCAAGAACCTGTGACTAGATAGGTCATAGATCCTAGGAGAGAACCTACTACTATTATTCCGCTAAACCAGTGGTTCTCAACCTTCCTAGTGCTGCAACCTCTTAATATAGTTTATGTTGTGGTGACCCCCAGCCATAAAATTATTTCATTGCTACTTCACAACTGCAATTTTGTAACTGTTATGAATTGTAATGTAAATATCTGATATGCAGATTATCTGATCTGTGACCCCCAAAGTGGTCACAACCCAAAGGTTGAGAACCACTGTGCTAAATGGATATAATATTAAATCAACTTCTAAGAAGTTCTCATTGCACTCATATATTAATATATATTAATGCATTTCTCAAACCTTATCAGAGAAGTTTCCATTTGCACTAGATGGTGATAAACACAACCAACAAGTATCAAGATACAGAAAATAAGAATGAAATACTCAGCCCTAAATGGAAGATCTTTACTATATCCTTTTCCCAAGGCTCAAGGATCATTCAGGAAGAAGGGGTGAAAAGTTTGTGAAAGTCAGAGGTGATGGATGACCATAAAGAAACTGTTTTCCAGACACAACAGAGCAAGTAGACATAGAAACTCAGAACAGTTGTCACAGTATGCACAAGATCTGTACAAGCACAAACCAGACTGACCCGTAGCATGGACAGAAGAGGTGGGCATGGAGTCCTACTCCTATCCAAGATGGTAGTGGCACCAATAGCTGCTATAAGAGGGAATCAATTTTCCTTAAGAGTGTAGTCCCTGATGGGTGGTGTGTAACCACATCATCCTAATGGATGCAATGGAGCCAAACTCAGAACATTCCTACTACAATCAGGGACATGCCAAGGATTTCCATTCTACTCCATCATGTTCAACATACAACTGAAAGTCTTAGCTGTAACAATACGACAAATGAAGGAGATAAAGAGACAAATAGGAAAGGAACCACACTCGAACGAAGGCCACATATCTGAGAATATATGAATAGCACAGATTGGATTCAAGGGTTTGGGGGTGTGGCCAACTTGTGTGGGTAAGGCAGGAGAGGTGATCTGGGAGGAGTCTGAGGGTGGAAGGTATGATCAAAACATATTGTATAAAATTCTCAAAAAAAAAATAGAAAAAGAAATGAAGAAAACAGAAAAGCATAGGGTTGAGCCACAGAAACTAAAGATGAAACTCAGCTTGACACAGCCCATGATGTCTCTCTTGGTTGTCAACTTAAGATATGTGGGAAGAAGGAATCTCAATCAAGGAACTGCCTGTCAGGCTGGCCATTGGTCTTTCATGTGTGTGAGGTGGAGAAGGTCAAGGCATGTTCTCAATTACTAATTAATGGAGGTTGGCCTACCCCAGATGGACCAAGCCACCCTTCGCACATGGTCCCGGGTTGTATGAGGAAGCTAACTGAGCAAAAGCAGGGAGCAGGCAGGTAAGTAGAATTCTGCTGTGGATTTCGCTTCAAGTTCCTGCCTTGTGGTCCCTGACTTGGCTTTTCTTTTTCTTTTTTTAAATTATAACTTTTATTGCTTCTTTATGGATTTCATATCATGCATTCAGATCCAACTTATCTCCCTGGCTCCTTGCATTTGCCCTCTGCCCTTGCAACCGCCCCCTACCCAAATCAAAGCCAAATTTAAATAGCCAAATGAATGGAAACACATGAACTATGAACCAATGGCTGAGGGGTCCCCACTGGATCAGGCCCTCTGAATGGGTGAGACAGTGATTGGCCTGATCTGTTTGGGAGGCATCCAGGCAGTGGGACCGGGTCCTGTGCTCATTGTATGAGTTGGCTGTTTGAAACCTGGGGATGCAGGATCGCTTGGCTCGGCCTGGGAGGAGGGGACTGGACCTACCTGGACTGAGTCTACCAGGTTGAACTCAATCCCCAGGGGAGTCTTTGCCCTGGAGGAGGTGGGAATGGGGGGTGGGCTGGGGGGAAGGGGAGGGGGGGCGGGAGGGGGGAGAACAAGGGAATCTGTGGCTGATATGTAGAACTGAATTATATTGCAAAAAAAAAAAAAAGATTGAAATAAACCCTTTCTTCCCCTGCTCAAAAAAGAAATAACCATTATCCCCCTTTAAACACTTCCTCTTCCATTCTCTTTTTCCTCTTCATTTATAATTTTATTAAAACATTTTAGATTGCCTCAGGGTATTTGTCATATCACTTAACTTTTATGTTTTTAATCCTTTCTCATCTCTGCTGCATTCTGAATAATATTTTGCTAATCTATTTTCTTGGTCCTAAATTATCTCTTTTGCTGCATCTAAATTGTATATTGCTAGTAACAGATATACATATTAACTTAAATTTAGGCTATTAATGTTCTAAAGTAACACTGTCCAGTAGAACATCCTGAAATGACAGAAATACTTATAATTATTTGTAATCTAGGTAGAGAAGTTGGTATCTTTTCCTCTGCTGATTCTTATTCAGATTGCTAAATTTCCCAACGTACTTGATTAACTGTTCTTGTTAGTGCCCTGAAAAGTTATTTCTGGCAGTTCTCTGAGGTCTAGCATGAACTTGTCCTTTATCCAGCAGAGGAATTTTGCTTGCCAAGACTCATGATCACTATTAACCAATCAGGGATCACATCAAGAACATGTACCTCTGAATGAAAAGACTGGGAAGGACAATGTGTTCATTATGCATCCTACAAGAATGGGTCTTTGAAGCTACAGCTTCATGTACTAAGAAGAGTCTCACCTGAAAGTTATTTCTCCTTTCTTCTCTTTGATGTTCTCGACAAAAGCTAAGCAATAATACTGGCAAATTTACTTCAAGCAAAAGAGCTATCCATTTGGACACAAGCTATCAATCAAAATTGGCATGTAAGTTTCCCACTATCTTTCCCGTAACTTAGGACAATTTGATGTGAATTTGTATGGCATTTATTCAGTGTGTTTTTACAAAAGATACTCACTCTGAACATTACTAGAAACTGGGAAAACTATGGATGTTTTTAGCATCCAGGTCAAGCCCAATGCACAATCAATCCTAACCACTTACACCACATGTCTGGTGCAGCCTGCTTTAGTCAGTTCTGTAACTTAACTGACTCACCATGTGGAAGGCCTGTGACAGGTCCTCACAGCTCCACACAAGAGCCTATACAGCTGCCTCTTACCTAAAAAGCCCACTGAGGTCAAGTGTGAGAGAGCAGGAAAAATAATTTCTCTCCAACTGTGTCCATCTGCTTAATACTGACGGGGGAGAGAAAACACTGCTGATTATAGGGAAATCTATAACATAAATCCAGAGACGTAGAAGTGTAAAGTGTAGACTTCCTCAACTCCCCCCAAAGTCTTTCCTTTTCCTGACTCAACAGTAGGGTTGTAATAAGCAGGGGGACAAAAAACACTTACTCTGAGAATGGGGAATAAACAAACCAGATGCTATGGAGCTGCTTTCATGAATCAGGACTGTCAGCAGATGATCTGTATTCATCTTACCACCTGAAGTGGGGCTTATCATTATCCTTATTTATAGATGTGAGGACCAAAGCAGATGCAGTGGAAGAGGACTGAAAGATAACCGTGTTGCACATCTCCCAGGGGTGGAAAGCACTGTCAGCAGAAGAATGCTGGAAGACTGGGTGCAAATCCAGTCAATTTAGGTGAGTTTGAAGCTGGTTGAACTTGAACAATTTTCTGTACAACATTTTCAACAATTCTATAACTGTTATAAAAAATAGAAGCACTAATATATGCACACAAAACATGAGCACAGAGTCATTTCTATTCACTTGGAAAACTTGGAGTGGTTAAGACTCTGAGAAAAATTAGATGTAAAACAAAGAAGGAAAAGAGGATTAATATCTTAAACTTTCTACCATGTACAAGCAATGAGGCTAGGCACTTTCTATGTTTCTATAAACTCTTTCTTACTAAAACAAAGAAGGGAGTATTTTGTGGATGTAGAAGTTTCACAGAAGCTACGTAAGGTGAGAGGAGCATTCAGGACCAGAAGGATGGGCAGCTGAAGTCTACCTCTCCCTTTATCACAACAGGGTGTCTCCTATAGAGGAGCATTCAGGACAAGATGGATGGGCAGCTAAATCCCCCTACCCCTCATCACAACAGGGTGTCTCCTATATAGAAGCATTCGGGACCAGAAGGATGGGCAGCTAAAGTCCCCCCACCCCTCATCACAACAGGGTGTCTCCTATAGAGGAACATTCAGGACCAGATGGATGGGCAGCTAAAGTCCCCTCACCCCTCATCACAACAGGGTGTCTCCTATAGAGGAGCATTCAGGACCAGAAGGATGGGCAGCTAAAGGTTCCCTGCCCCTTATCACAATAGGGTGTCTCCTGTAAAATTCCATATGAAATTCACACCCACCTACTTGTTAATTTTGGTTTCAGAAACAGATTCCTCCAATTCCTTCCTTGTTTCTTTCCCCCCTAGACTCCTTTTGAATTGCCTCCGGTTACACTACATCTCAGAGAATGATTTCCCTATCTGGTTGGGGCTTTCAAGTCTGCCTGTCAGGATCTCTCTCAATTACTAAATGCTTAAGGAATGCTTTCTGGTGACAGGCACAACTATGGGTGATAGATACACACATATAATGTCTCAGTGTAAAGGGCACAGAAATAAAGAGTCACACATATACAATTCATAGTATATCAGATAGTGATCATGCTATGGAAAAAGGTGGGTTTTGGGAGGGACACAGGGCAGGGTGAAGGTCGGGAGTTACAACCGGGACAGCTGTTCTACAAAGTTTTCATTTGCTTGAAGACAGATAAGAAATGAAGGGGAACAAGAATAATAGCAGATCAAGAAGAGAGAGAGAGAGAGAGAAGTAGAGCACGAGACTGGGACTAGACCTGCCCACTGCTGCTCTCTCCCCTGCACCTAACGGGTCCCCTGGAATGACAGTTGTTGGTCAACATGCAGAGGCTAGACCCATTCTTGAATACCTACTCCCGCCCCCAGCTGCTGTCTCCCACAGGGCTTTAAGCATAGCAGGTGTTTAAGAAATATCTGGGAGCTGGGTGGTGGTGGCACACGCCTTTAATCCCAGCACTCGGGAGGCAGAGCCAGGCGGATCTCTGTGAGTTCGAGGCCAGCCTGGGCTACCAAGTGAGTTCCAGGAAAGGCGCAAAGCTACACAGAGAAACCCTGTCTCGAAAAACAAACAAAAAAAAAAAAAACAAAACAAAACAAAAAAAAAATCTGGGAAATTATAGAGCTACTTTGTGTTTTAATCTGAGCAGAATGGTCTAAACATGTGTGAAATGATGTGGCTACTTACCATTAGCCAGGATTTTAGTCTTATTAGCAGGACTGAAGCAAATGTTATGAAAAATCAGCAGAGGTATGTAAGGGCTGCTCTTATGCTTGTATTTGCTCATCTCTGTGAGTAAGTCTAAGCAGCCATCCAGCCTCAGGATCATTTGCTGTCCATCTTCTCCAAATGATATATTCAGGAGTAACTTCAACCACAGAATGGCCAGATTGCTGAGATGTTTATTTCCTCCTTTAGGCAATGTCAGGGACAGGAAGTGCTGTAGGAAGTTGCTCTGTGGGTAAAGATAGAATATTATTTTGTTTTCAGGTCTTTTTCATTATTTTCCTAGTCCCTTGGTGACCAATTAACTAGCATTTTGATATCCTTTTCCCTAGTTTTAATTTCTCATTCTTCCAAATGCTTCAACTATACAATTTCCAAGTGTAAATGTAAAGGCAAGAACAAAATAGTGCTTAGATTTTAATTCCTGCTATTTTTTCCTGATAATGGATGAAATAAACTATAGTCAACTCTATTATGGTTGATAATTCAGAGTTGGCCTCCTGAGTTCCCTTTCTTATTGGCCTTCTGGCAATTTTGCTACTCATTAAAGATATCCTGTAGGAGGAAAGGAAACAAACCCAAATCCAGCCTGCACAGGAGTTAGCAACTCTAACAGGAGTGAAGGTGTTCAAACCATTATAGTTACAGGTGTTTTTCTCCTTAAATTTATGAACATGTATATACCTCTCAGTTTGGAGAAGGTAATCTCATACATCTGGCTCAAGATGTGTATATCACTTGCAAAAGAACTGATAAATATGTAGATATGAAATATGTACATTTATATGACAATATGTATAAAGAAATATATTCAAATATGTATATACAACATGACATACATGGCATATATGTCTATAAATATGCACATGCATACATATGAACAAATGGTAGCAATATCAGCATGTACATGAGGAAATTATCAAGCTGTATGCTAGTAAATAAACTGAACTGGCTGAATGAGGGTGAGGAAGATCACTGATTATAGTGTTTGCCAAGTTACATGATGTGAACGCTCCCCCCCAAGGAGCATTTCAAGATAATATTACAACAGAATTTTCTTGAGAAAATTCTGAAAAATGTAATGACACTCATGAGCCAGAGTGAGCTGAGTGCAAAACATTATTGAAACTATTTCCATAGTAAGACCAATCAATCCATTTCCTTAGGAAGAGAGCCATTTCAATTTATTTGGTGATTATATTTAAACTATCTTTCAAGGGTTCCGAGACATAAAACAGTAGAGGGGTATACTCAACTCCTATGTCTTACCTCTAAGCAGGGGAGGAAAAAACAAAAAACACTCAAATCACTGTCATTAGTAAGAAACAGATATGATAATATTCAAATTTTAAAAGATATTCACAAGTAGGGATTCTGTTCATTTAGAACCACAAAGACACTCTGCTCCCTGTCCATGTGGACTAGAGTTTGTCCCACCCATTCCCTTCCTTTATACACTCAGAATTAGTGATAAGAAGTGAAGATTTAGAATTGCAGATCCAGAGACCTCACAAAATGACATTTCATGCCATAAAGAAGTAAAATGTAACTGGGGCAAAGGGGTTTTGATGTCATACAGCTTTCTGTCACCGTCATATGAACAAGAATTGTCACTGTTTGACTGGTCTGCGTACAGACTGAATATATTATTTGTATGATACCAGTGTTTTTTTCTAAACGCCATTTTTGAGGTAAACACAATGTAAGGCGATGAAGATAACTAGAAGGACATGGCATCATCAGAGGTTACTGCTGCTTCAGTCTGAGGTCTCCAAACCATCTTAAATGATAGCTTCTTAACTCTTTTACCAACCTTTAAAATAAAGTGTCTTGAAATCATAATAGAACAGTCCCAGAAACTGATTTCTAAAATTTGATTGACAGGCTTATTTTGCCAAATAACTCTTTTATGACATATAGGAGAAGCTAAGTGCTTACCTTCTGAATTACTCCCTTGCAGTCATGAGATAAGGCCAGGTTTGAAAGAAACATAAAAACCATCTGCTGAATGGTGGAGTTCTCTGCAGGCATCTGAGAAGCAAGCTTCAGGATACACAGCATCAGGGAGTTGCTGGGGGGCCCTCTGTGGGCAGTTTGCACATATTGTCCAGAATTTGACCAACAAAGAGAACTGCAGCCTTCAAAAGAAAAAGCCTGTCACAGAGTTGCCTCTGTTCCACTTCTTGGTTTTTAAAAACACAAACTGGTAAGCATCTATGTCTGTCAAAATGACTTGGTCATCCACCCATGAACTGCAAATAGGCACCAGAGAAGCCTAATGCTGATGTGTACACTCAACCCAACAGACTGACTGTCCCCACTCAGGGCCTAATTATCTCAATGGAGCACTAAAATATCAACTTATTGTTATTTTTGTTGTTGTTGTTTTGTTTTGTTTTTCGAGACAGGGTTTCTCTGTGTAGCTTTGCGCCTTTCCTGGAACTCACTTGGTAGTCCAGGCTGGCCTCGAACTCACAGAGATCCGCCTGCCTCTGCCTCCCGAGTGCTGGGATGAAAGGCGTGCGCCACCACCCGCCCGGCAACTTATTGTTATTTTAAGAAAAGTTTAGATTAGCATAATGGGGTTTTTTTTAATAGTCATAAAAGAAGCATCTAAATAAACCCTCACGTGAAAGAACAGAATTTTAACAATGAGAGGTAATTGAGATAGCTCAAACACTATCTTCCATAGTACCCAGGTAAAGATAAAGAACCCAGAAAAGCCTGTTCATGGGTTGTTCAAGGTCAAAGAGTTCATAGGCAGCAGAAGCAAGCAGTGGTATCTGTGGCTCCCCAGAGTTCAGTGCTCTCTGAGTAAATTAGGTAACCATGAGACTTATTGGGGGATTAAAAAACCATGAAAGTGTTAGAAATACATTTTGGTGAGTGCTTTGTAATCTGAACCCAAAGCAAAATTACATGCAGGTAGAACAGCTTATATAGTCACATTAGAATTGAACAGTCTGTGAAATAAACTCACACATGACAAGTACACACAAAATACAAAAATCTTCCCTGTATTCCTAACTTTATAGCTATATTCAAATACCAATGTTTCTATTAAATGATGCATTTTTGCTTAGAAACACATCAAATAGAAAAATAAGATTTCTGCTTAGGTTAGTGGTACCCTAACCACTTCTAATATTCTATAAAGTTTAAGGATGCATATAGCACAAATTAGTTAAAATTTTTATGTATTTTTGCTTCACACTTAGCAACTCACTTTTTATCCCTCCCACTTTCCTAGGTTATGATGAGCTGGCCACACTAAAGGGGAGGTTGAGATAGAAGATATAATGAGAAGAGATTGTTCAAGCAGAAGAAAGGGACAGAGAAAGCAGCAGCAGAAGGGAGAGAGGACGTTCCGATTTACAATCAGACATGGAATCCCGTGCAGTTCACGAGCTTCACTCTTATATGCAGACAGCCTAAGGTACTAGACTATTCAAAGAAAAATGTTATCATGTGTGTAGCAGTGACAAGATGGGCTCATAGTTGACTTTATTTCCCATCCCTTCCCTGCACACCCTTTGGTATGTGGACATCTCTGTTGCTGAGCTATTGAATGCTGCCAGAAGAAATCATACACACTTGCTGACCAGTGAAACCTCCTATGTCTGACCATATGGGTACTACACACACCCAACACACTTGTTTGCCTCCCTAAAAACTAACTTCATGCCTCTTCTCTCCCTAGAACCGTCTACCCTTCTGTTCCCCTCACAGTCTAATACTTAAGAGTCTGCCAATAAAATACCTGACAAGTGAATGAATACAAAGGGAGTCTCAGTGACACCAACTTTCACAAAACCAACAGTAGCTTGAACTAACTTCCATCATCCCTGTCTCCTGTTCAGGAATCTATAACAGCTCTAATCTTCACCTATCTTCTTCATAAATTTTCACCCTTTAGATGTTCTCACTGGATAGAGTTTCCCACAACCATATAATCAGGCCAATCTATTTAATGAACTATCCAATGACTCTCCTGGGTTAACAAACATATTCTTAAATTGCTCTGGAGTCAGAAGACCCATAAGAAATTTTGCCTTTAACTAATATACACTTATAAGGAGAAATACATCAACATACATATTTTTCCAGTCCAGCTTAATAACATCATATGAAACTAGTAGTTTAATGTATTACAGAAGACAACAGTGGATTCAGTTACCAGTTGGAAAATTAGCAGTATAGACACAAAGCAACTGCAAGGCAATTTGCATCAATGAATCCTCCATCAAAAGCCAAGGCCAAAGAGCATGCAGAATGGGCACAAGACGTGCTTCAAGAGCAGCCACCTGTTTGGGGAAGAAAATAAGAACAGCCGTTAGTCTGGACATATGAAATGCAAAATTAAGTTAAAATACCCCCAAAAGTTGTCACTTACAAAAGGCAATAGTTTAATTCATCTTTGCTGCATAGAAGGAATATCCTTCCCTAAGTCAGTAGTGTTCCCTATTGGGCAGCCCTGATCAGGAGCCTGCCCAGTCTCAGGAAGGGTGGCTAGGATATATTAGTGAGAGAAGAACTGTAGAAAACAGTTTCCATAAATGTAAGGTATGCAGGAAAGTGATTATCTCTCACTAAAAAACAAACTCTTGAAAAGGCTCAGACATGGTCTAGAGACAGAGATTTGTAGTCAAAAAAATACTTCTGTGTTTTTCTTCTCTTAATGCAGTATACATGAGGAGAGACAATTTTCTGAAAATAGCTCTTGACCCTAAAGGGGTTGAACTTGGCCCAGACCTCCAGACCAAGTTAATAATAATATGCCTTGAAATTACTTAAGACTATGTGTGGTGATATTTTATTTGTGCACCCCAATAAAGCTTATCTAGAGATCAGAGGAAAAAGCCAGCCACTATATTAAATATAGAGGTCAGGCAGTGGCAGCACACGCCTTTAATCCTAGCATTCAGGAGGCAGAAATTCATCTGGATCTCTGTGAGTTCAAGGTCACACTGGGAACAGAGCCAGGTGTGGTGGCACACGCCTTTAATCCCATCAGTAGTTAATCATAGAGGTCTGGAGGTCTGTACAGACAGACAGGAAGTGATAGAGCCAGGCAGAAAGAGGAAGTGATATAGCTGGGCAGATAGAGGAAGTAAGATGGCAGAACACAGAAAGGTATATAGGTATGAGTGTACAGGAAGTAGCTCTCTCTGGAGGCTGAGGAGTTGATAAGGTGAGGTTGGCTGTAGCTTGTTATATTCCTCTGATCTCTCAGTTTAAGACTTAAAAATTGAAGCACAGGCAATAAAGAAGAAACAAACCAAGGAATGCGGGAAATGGAAAATCTGAGTAAACGAACAGGAACTACAGATAGCAAGCATAACCAACAGAATGCAAAAGATGGAAGAGAGAATCTCTACCATTGAAGATAAGATAGAGGAAATAGATTCATCAGTCAAAGAAAACATCAACAAAGTCAAAACACGAAACATCAAGGAAATCTGGAACACCATGAAAACATCAAACCTAAGAATAATAGGGATAGAAGGAGAAGAATATCAGCTCAAAGGCACAGAAAATATATTCAACAAAATCATAGAAGAAAACTTTCCTACCTTAAAGAAAGAGATACCTATCAAGATATAAGAAGCTTACAGAACACCAAATAGACTGGACTCCCCCAAAAAAGTCCCCTTGTCACATAATAATCAAACCACTAAACATACAGAATAAAGACAGAATATTAAGAACAGCAAAGGAAAAAGGCCAAGTGACATGTGAAGACAGAACGATCAGAATAACACCCAACGTCTCAATGGAGACTCTGAAAGCCAGAAGGTCCTGGACAGACATTATGCAGATACTAAGAGACCACTGATGCCAGCCTAGACTACTATACCCAGCAAAACTCTCAATCACCATACACGAAGTAAACAAGATATTCCATAAAAAAACAGATTTAAACAATATCTATCAAATGGACTTAAGAAGCAAGCTGGTGTAGTTATCCTAATATGTAACAAAATAGACTTCAAACTAAAATTAATCAAGAGATCAAGAAGGACATTATATATTCATCACAGGAAAAATCCATCAAGATGATGATCTCAATTCTGAACATTTATGCCCCAAATACAAGGGCACCCACATATGTAAAAGAAATATTACTAAAGCTTAAATCACACTTCAAACCCCAAACACTAATAGTGGGAGACTTTAATACCCCATTCTCACCAATAGAAAGGTCTGTCAGACTGAAAATTAACAGAGAAATAAGGGAACAGATGTTATGACTCAAATGGACTTAATAGACATCTACAGAGCATTCCACACAAACACAAAATAATATACTTTATTCTTAGCACCCCCGAGAAACTTTCTCTAAAATCGACCATATAGCAAATCTCAACAGATACAAAAAAAAATGGAATAACCTCCTGTATTTTATCAGATCACCACGGTTTAAAGTTAGAATTCAACAGCAAAACAAATTACAGAAAGCCTACAAAATCATGGAATAATGCCCAAATGAATCACCAATGGGTCAAGGAAAAAATAAAGAAAGAAATTAAAGACTTCCTAGAATTCAATGAAAATGAAGGCACAACATACACAAACTCACAAACTTATGGAACACTACAAAAGCAGTGCTAAGAGGAAAGTTCACAGCATTAAATTCCTACATAAAGAAGTTGGTGAAACCTGAAACCTCTAGAACAAAAAGAAGCAAACTCATCCAGGAGGAATAGATGCCAGGAAATCAAATTGAGGGCTGAAATCAAGAAAATAGAAACAAAGAGAACAATACAAAGAATCAAGGAAACAAAGAGTTGGTTTCTTGAGCAAATCAACAAGATAGACAAGTCCTTATTCAAAGTAACCAAAAAGCAGAGAGAGAATATCCAAATTAACAAAATCAAAAACAAAAAAAGAGACATAACAATAGACAGTAAAGAAATCCAGAGAATCATCAGGTCATACTTCAAAAACCTGTACTCCACAAATTTGGAAAATGTAAAAGAAATGGACAATTTTATGGATAGGTACCATATACCAAAATTAAATCAACACCAGATAAACAATTTAAATAGACCTATACCCCTGAGGAAATAGAAGCAGTCATTAAATTTTCCCAACCAGAGAAAGCCCAGGGCCAGATGGTTTCAATGCAGAATTCTACCAGAATTTCAAAGAAGAGCTAATACCAATACTCCTCAAATTGTTCCACACAGTAGAAACAAAAGGAACATTGCTAAATGCTTTTCATGAGGCTACAGTTACGCTGATACCCAAACCACACAAAGATGCAACAAAGAAAGAGAATTACAGACCACTCTCCCTCATGAACATTGATGCAAAAAATACTCAATAAAATATTAGCAAACAAAATCCAAGAATACATTAAACAAAAAAATCATCCACCATGATCAAGTAGGCTTCATTCAAGAGATGCAGGGATGGTTCAACATATGAAAATCTGTCAATGTAATCCATCATATAAATAAACTGAATGAAAAAAAAAACATGATCATCTCATTAAATGCTGAAAAAGCCTTTGACAAAATCCAACACCCCTTCATGATAAACGTCCTGGAGAGATCGGGAATACGAGGAACATTCCTAAACATAATAAAGGCAACTTACAGCAAGCCGACAGCCAACATCAAATTAAATGGAGAAAAACTCAACGTGATTCCACTAAAATCAGGAACAAGACAAGGCTGTCCACTCTCACCATACTTATTCAATATAGTACTCAAAGTTCTAGCTAGAGCAGTAAGACAACAAAAGGAGATCAAGGGGATACAAATTGGAAAGGAAGAAGTCAAACTTTCACTATTTGCAAATGATAGTCTACATAAGTGACCCCAAAAATTCGACCAGGGAACTCCTACATCTAATAAAGACCATCAGTAATGTGGCGGGACACAAGATTAACTCAAAAAAATCAGTAGCCCTCCAATACACAAATGATAAACAAGCTGAGAAAGAAATCAGAGAAACATAACCCTTTAGAATAGCCACATACAATATAAAATATCTTGGGGTAACTCTAACCAAATAAGTGAAAGACCTGTATGACAAGAACTTTAAGTCCTTGAAGAAAGAAACTGAAGAATATCAAAAAATGGAAAGATCTCCCATGCTCATGGATAAGTAGAACCAACATAACAAAAATGACAATCTTACCAAAAGCTATCTACAGATTCAATGCAATCCCCATCAAAATCCCAACACAATTCTTCACAGACCTCGAAAGAACAATACTCAACTTCATATGAAAAACAAAATACCCAGGATAGCCAAAACAATCCTGCACAATAAAATGACTTCCAGAGGCATCACCATCCTTGACTTCAAGATCAACTATAGAGTTATAGTAATAAAAACAGCTTGGTATTGGCATAAAACCAGACATGTGGAATTGAACTGAAGACCCTGAAGTTAACCCACACACATATGAATAACTGATTTTTGACATAGAAGCCAAAATGGTACAATGGAAAAAAGAAAGCATCTTCAACAAATGGTGCTGGCATAACTGGATGTTTACATGTAGAAGACTGCAAATAGATCCATATCTATCGCCATGCACAAAACTCAAGTCCCAGTGGATCAAAGACCTCAACATAAATCTAGTTACACTGAACCTGATAGAAGAGAAAGTACTCTTGAACACATTGGCACAGGAAACCACTTCCTATATATAACCAGGAGCGCAGAAACTGAGAGCAACAATTAATAAATGGGACCTCCTGAAACTAAAAAGCTTCTGTAAGGCAAAGGACACAGTAAATAAGACAAAACAACAACCTACAGAATGGGAAAAGATCTTCACCAACTCCCCATGACAGAAGGGCTGAACTCCAAACTATATAAAGAACTCAAGAAACTGACATCAAAATACCAAACAATACAATTAAAAAATGGGCTATAGATCTAAACAGAGAATTCTCAACAGAAGAATCTCAAATGGCCAAAAGACATTAAGGACTTTCTCAACATCTGTGGGCATCAGGGAAATGGAAATCAAAACCACTCTGAGATACCATCTTACACCTATCAGCATGGCTAATATCAAAAACATTGATGACAGTTTATGTTGGAGAGGATGTCGAGCAAGGGGAACATCCTCCACTGTTGGTGGGAGTGCAAACTTGTACAGTTACTTTGCATATCAGTATGGTGACCTCTCAGAAAATTGGGAATCAATCTACCTCAAGACCCAATGATACCATTCTTGGGCATATAACCAAGGCATGCTCAATCATACCACAAGGCACCTACTCAACTATGTTCATAGCAGCATTATTCATAATTGCTAGAACCTGGAAACAACCTAGATACCGCCTCAACAGAAGAATGGATAAGGAGAATGTGGTACATTTATACAATGGCATATTACTCAGCTATAAAAAACAATGACATCATGAAATTTGCAGGCAAATGAATGGAACTAGAAAGTATCACCCTGAGTGAGGTAACCCAGACTCAGAAAGACAACATAGAATGTACTCACTCATAAGTGGATAACAGATGTAAAGCAAAGGATAACCAGACTAGAACCCATAGCTCCAGAGAAGTTGCGTAACAAGGAGGACTGTAAGAGGGATGCATGGATTGCCCTGGGAAGGGGAAAGAGATGAGATCTCTGGAGTAAACTGGGGATGAGGGGAGACAATAGAGGGGAGGGGATGGGGGATGAGAACATGAGGGAACGGGACGGTCAAGCTGGGGAAGGGATGGAGTGGGAGAGTAATGAAAGAGGGAGACATTATGGGGTTAGAGAGAAACCTGGTTCTAGGGAAGTTCCCAGGAATCCATAAGGACCCCACATTAGACTACTAGTAATGGTGGAAAAGGTGCCTCAACTGGTCTACCCTGGTAATCAGATTAGTGAATACCCTAACTGTCATCACAGAGCCATCCAGTAACTGATGGAAGCAGATGCAGAGATCCACAGCCAAGCACCAGGACCAGCTCTGGGAGTCCAGTCTAAGCGAGGGAAAAGGTATTATATGAGCAAGGGGGTTAAAGATTATGATGAGGAAATCTACAGAGACAACTGAACCAAGCTTGTAGGAATTCACGAACTATAGACCAACAGCAGTGGAGCCTGCATGGGACCAAACTAGGCCCTCTGCATGTGAGAGACAGTTGTGTAGCTTGGCCTGTTTGAGGGACCCCTGGCAGTGAGATCAGGATCTATCCCTGGTGCATGAGCTGGCTTTTTGGAGCCCATTACCTATGCCATGTTCAGCCTTGAGGCAGGGGGGAGGGGCTTGGTCCTGCCTCACCTAAATGTACCAGGCTTTGCTCACTCCCCATGGAAGGCCTTACCCTTTCTTGGGGTGGGGGGGACATTGCAGGAGGAGGAATGAGAGTGGGATCTGTGGTTAGTATGTAAAATGAATAAAAAAATTTCTTAAATTAAAAAAAAAGAATACATTATCCCTTTCCATAGCATGTTTTGTAGGCTGTTCAATAAATACAGAGTAAAGTCTCATCAGATACACATACACAACAGGCAACAGACTTAGGCACAGATTCAGACACAAGTGCAGACCCACACAACAGAAGATCACCAATCAGCCAGTAATCACAAACTATAGACAGATGGAAGGCACTGAGAGAGAAATGGAGAATTCAAAAGGAAGTGACTTTGTTTTTATTCCTGAGATTATCTTTAATGTGTTAAACAGTATGTGTGTGCGTGTGTGTGTTGTGTTTCAGAAGCTAGCAATTACTTTTGTATAATTTGAACAGATTCTTAAGTAACTTAGTCTTTATTAAAAGTCAGTTACCAGTGGGACATTACTGTAGGTAAGATACAGTTCTTGCAGAAGTGCAGCAGTATCTTTTTAAAACAGGAATTATAAGGTAATTTCTACACCCACATGTACTTGAGTGCATACGCACAAAATTATATACACATTTTGGGGCACACAGGACCAAACAGTAGAATGAAGTGCAAAGTCATTCAAAACATTTAATACTCTCTAATTTTGAAGTTACTCCCATGGTCTTCCTCGTGCTTATCACTCTCTCAGTTTCTCACTCTGCCCCACAATGGCAACAAACGACTGTGCTCACTTACTTCACAAAGACAGAAACGGTGAGGTGTGAATTCTTTGTCTATCCTCCATCCTACCCACATGTATCTGTCCTCTCATCCATTTATCCTTTGCCTGGCAGAGTCAGTGCTTCTCTTGTCAGGAATTATACACTCATCTGCCCTCTGAAACTCCACTCTCCTGTCTCCTGGGGATCTGATCTTTCCATTAGTTCTTTGTCATCTCCATCATTATTAACTAGCCCCTAATTTATTCATTTCTCTGATTACTTCTCTGATGACGTTAAAGTAGTTTACACATTAGGAGAACCAAATACACTCGTGTCATACAATGGTCGAGCTGTAAAAAAGAAAGCTACTGCTGTCATTTCCCCTTCTCGCATTTTTCCGTCAGCTCCTCTCATTTTATGTCCTGTTCTGACGGTTCACTGTGACCACTCTAACCTTTATGGCTGCCAAACTCTCCAGCACCAGGGTATTTATTATAGGTTTGTCTTCATTTCCATCCTTCGGTCTTATATCTCTGCTCCTCCATACTCCTCTGATATCTTGCCTTATCTTACATGTGCTCCAAATATATGATCAAAGCTGTTATAGCATACCATCTTGGAAAAGTTCAACTAGAATCCTGGGTAAAAATACTAATTACACACTTCTCCTATCCCCAGTATGTATAGCTCCTCAGGCCCATACAAACTCAGCTACAAAAGATTCTCCACCTGGATGTCCCAAAGGCTTACATGGCACACACACGGGCAAACCTGAGCATCAGGTCCTCCATCCTGTGCTCTATCGTACATTCCCACATTGGTAAGCAGCTTAAACTGGAGTCTGGAAATTGTTCTATACTGCTCTTCTTCCATGTCAACTTTTCTGATTTTCTTACTCTACACCCCCTTTACATTTTCCCCTGCTCAGGTTAAGGTCTCCTCATCTTTTTCCTGGGGTATCATGGTTCCCTCTCCTGAGCGTTGTCAACTGTTTAGTTTAATTTACTCAAAGCCACATGATCTTCTCAATATAAAAACTCCTTAATGTTACATATGCATATGCATACATTGTGGTGGTGTGGCAGAGGGTAATTTAATGAGTTATGACCTTAATAATTAATAATTAGTAATGAGGACACATTTCCTAAGCTGGAATAAGAAAAAAAATGAAAAATTTCTGTTCCATAGATTTATATTTATACTCAAGAGTAATGTAATTATTGTTTGAATTTATTCTTTACAACTCAGAAAAATAGAAATACTTTGACTTGCTGAATAATTATACTTCATATATAATACATATAATTATATATGTATTATATATTACATATATAAGTATGTAATACAACACAAATATGAACAAATAACTAGAGGACAGGTTACTTATTTCATTAATCTTCATAGGTAGATGCCATCTGTCAAATGTTTCAGGTTATTTCCCAAATAAGATGCAATGGATAAATAACAAGAACAGTGCTTAGCATGAAGGAATCATACATTTAATATCTATTTTGAGGAAAATCCATGTTCTGGAAATTCTAAAATGTTGTCCTAGTCACTGTTCTATTGCTGTGAAGAGACACCATGATCAAGGCAGCTCTTACAGAAGAAAGCATTTAAATTGGGGGCTTGCTTACAGTTTCAGAGGGTCAGTACATGATCCTCACGGTGGGAAGCAGACAAGCATGTAACTGAGAGCTTTATATCTTCATCTGCAGACAACAGGCAGTGACTGCGCTACTGTGAGTTTTTTAAACCTCAAAGCCCACTCTCAGTGACGCACTTTCTCCAAAAAGGCGACAGCTACTCCAACAAGGCCACACCTTCTAATCCTTCTTAAACAGTCCCACTCCCTGGTGACTAAGTATTCAAATATATGAGCCTACAGGGCCATATATCACAAATGTATAAAGTTATTTTTTTAAATAATTGTTACCTGTATTTTACTTAATATAGCTTAAGTAATACATGTTTACCATGTTTTTCCAAATACAATATGCTTTTTCTAGTTTTACCATAACTAAGAGCACAAACTCAAGAAATTTAAAACAAGAAGTTTCTCAATTGATCTTTGCCTCACCAATTTTTTTATACTAAAATTTAAGCTAATGCCTCAAAAGTGAGGTCATTCTAGATGGACCAACTTCAAGAGTTCAGAAGATTTTATGTCACACAACAGTACTATATGATTGTGTAAGTGGACAAAACCAACACTTACAGACAAAGCAAGATAACTCAGTGACTCTCAAAGAGCACTGTGCAAAGGCCGCAGGAGACAGCAGATATGGAGAAGGGGTTTCCTTTAGGTGGCATGACCATGCTGAGCAAAACAATGTCTAGTCTGAAATAGGATGCATGCTTATCTTCTTTCTTATAATTATAAATACTATCACTTAATCCTTTTGAATAATCAGTTTTGACAAACACCTTTAAGAACCTTCACTTCCTAAGACATCTGCAGCCATTTATTATTCCTTTCTAGGCAAGAAAACATCTAAATGCCTACCAATATAGAATGAAAGATAAGTTCAAGAATTTATGTTTCAATTATGAAGTTCAAGCCTTGATATAAGTAAGAATGTAATTAGTGTTGAACATGATTAAGTGTATCCAGCTCTGAGAATTAACTCTGAGCTTAAGAAACAATCAACTACACATCTTAAACAAGAGAATTCAGAGGGTCTACTATTCTTCCTGTGTTACCTCATGGAAAAATTCAGCTGTTCACTACCTTAAACTGCTATCAACAATCTGAGGAGCTCTACTTACTTTACATTCTTCATTTTGATAAAGGCAATTCCTTAGGAGCTGCATAGTAATGCTTAACTCTTTAATAAAGCCATCCTCCTGTATGGACACAAAAAAGTTGAAAAACATGAATGTAGCACTTTTAGAAACAGTAACTCTGCAATTGTGCTGTAATCATGCCCGCCCACCAACACTTTGTGAAAATTGACAAGGTATGGTGACCATATCTCAAGAAACACATGCACCACAAAAAAGCTATTTCCATTCCATCAAGCATAGAGGAACTCAGATATATAACAGCCTTCATGTTTCATCCCAATAAAGTAAGGCAGGTACGGACTGGTTTTCAATCATATCAGGTGCTGGCTGACTTTCTCAATGATGAAGTAGGGCTTTCGGCTAGGCATGAAAATAAGAAGCAGGAAAAGAAGCTGGCAACATGGATTCTGTTACCATGTACCAGTTAAACTATGAAATAAAGCTTTGTCTTTCTTTTTAAAGATTTAACTTTACTTTTAAATCATGTACATACACACACACACACACACACACACACACACACACACACACACACACACACGTCTGTGTGTGGGTGTGTTCATGTGAATGTAGTGCATCCAAAGACCAGAAGAAGATGTTGGGTCCTCTGGAACTCAAGTCCTCTGAAAGAGTAGTATATATTCTTAAACACTGAGCCATTTCTCCACCTCCTTCTTGTTTTCTTAACAGTTTTTACATAAAAACTGTTCTGCACACTGATCCCAGACTGGCTGAATCAGTTTGCAATCCCAACAACAGTGAATGAGTGTTTCCCTTTCCTATATTGATGCCAGTATTTGCTGTCATATGTTTTTCTATTTGTTTGTTTTTTATAATCTTTTTTGAGACCTATATCAATGAGCATTGCATCTGCATAACTATTTCCCTTCTCTCTCTTATTATGTATATTAATTTTTTAATTAGTATATTACACATAATAAGTAGAATGTATATTTGTATATTTAACTATTATAAACATGTACATTCATTTTCTGATAAAAAAAGTAGTATAAATGTAAATGTTACTGGTCACAATTATAGCTAGTCACAGGTAATATACAGCCACGATGTTATATTGTGTTTATATGAAAGTACAATTTATATACACAGTCAAGCATTTCAATGCTAGAACAAACATCTGGGAATCATAGAAGGAGATTGCCTCATCAATCGCAGGATTCTGTGACCAAGTCGTTACAAGTGTTTATTCATGAGATAATAAATTTGAAATGTATGACTGTGCCTGACATATAAACATGTAATAAATTACAGTTGTTACAGATTTCATGCCCTGGAGAACTTACACTTTTATTTATATATCCATTGTATAAAATATTTTTGCAATATATCATGTGAATACACATATTTTTATCTGTGCATAACAAGAATGAATAATATGTAAGTCTCATTTAAAGATTTCCAAATGAGAATCTCAGTAATTTACTGCCTCTACCAATGTTCTAAGTCAAACACTGATTTCAACCTTGTGCTCTTTGTAGGCACAAGAGCAATGGAGATAGGGTCACTCTACCCATGTTCCCTTACATGAGAATTCAGACCTTGAAGTCACCTTTTTTTTCAGTGTTGCTTTCCCAGGCCTCAGAAAATCCAGGTTCAGTTGTGCATTGATGTGCTTCATCTGCTCCATGCAGTTCTCTATGAGATCAGCTGAAAGAAAAAGCCTGTGATGTCAAGGGGCCATTCCATTTCTGAAGATGTTAAGGCTGCAAATATTCAAGTCACTGAAAACCTATACAAATTTAATCTGTGAGAGAATAATGAATTAAAAGGGAAAAAAAGAGCACAACACTGCAGCCCGCTTGTTTTCATTTCTTAGTGAGTTTCTAGATTTACTTTTTATTTTCAGGCCTGCATGCTTCATCTTAGCAGCAAGTCATTAGTTGGATGAATGGGTTTTGTGTTCCTATTACTTTCTTTCACCTCTCAGACCTATAATCCCTGATGTCCAGAAGAGAAACCACCACCCTACACTTGATCTTAGCCAAAAGGCCGAGAAGTGTAAAAATTTATATAAAAATACTGCTCATTTGATATTATTGGCTTTACTGTACCATAAAAACTATGTTTGTATGTGTTAGAGATATAAAATATGCTTGTATACACTAATAATTATGAAGCTGAGTAATAGGTTAAAGCTTGAAATTTCTTTATATATAGTCTCTAGAATAACAATCATTACATGAAAATAGAAACACAATCTACAAGCATCATCTTTGTACTAATGATTGATTGATTTTTCAGTACGTGGGGAGGGGTCAAAGTCCAGGTCCTATGTTTACTAGGCACTTTATTCAAAGCCTACTCATTTTGAACTTCAAAAGCAATTCATGTGGGCCTGGAGAGACGGCTGGGTAGTTAAGATGGTTAGCGTTTTGCTACTGCAAAGAACCTGAGATCAGTTCCCAGCACCCATGTCAGGCAGCTCACAACAACCTTTAACTCCAGCTCTAAGGCATCCAGTACTCTTTTCTGTCCTCCATAAGCAACTGCACCCATATGAACATACCCACACACAAACATACAAACACACACATAATTAAAAATAAAATAAATCTTAAAATAAAGAAGTAAAAACAATGAATGATTACTGCTAAATAATTCAAAGAAAAACAAGTAGTAGAAAATATGATTGTCAAGATGCCATATAAACAACTGATGGTGAAGATCACCTCTCAAAGCATGCTTCTGTGCTCGTCTGCTGACAGCCAGAAGTGACATCAGAGCATTTGCGGCAACTCTTTTCAGGACATCTTTGGGAGATTTCCCTTCATAGCACTGCAGAAAACAGACAAAATAGGAGAATGGGGGTAATGCAGAGGGAGAGGAAGGAGAAGGAATAAATAACACTAAGGATGCTTGAAAGTAACATAGAAAATCGTATTATTTTATGTTTACCTAAAATTATATATAATATCTATGCATATGTATGTACATATACATAATTAGATGAAGGTATGAGACTTGGAGTAATAATGTACCTCCCCAAGAACCACAGACCACCTAGTGAAAACCCCAGGACCAAGTACAAGAAATTCCTCTTGAGTTGGTTGGGCAGGGGAGTCCAAAAGACCCCTAACACAATACAGACTATTGCTATTGTCCCTTGCTGGACCCCAGAATTTGAAGGTAAGGCCCTATTGCACTTCGGACACAGGACTTGGAGGAAACGTCATGGAACTGATCTGGAAGTTTTTTCCCCAAGGGCTTTCTCTCATTGTACCCCAAAGTGCTATCCAAACTGCAAGGAAGAAAAGTAATCTACAGTTCTATCTAGCTGTTAACACCAAAAAACATAACACTGACTAGGCTAGAAAGATATTCACAGTGCTGCGACAGTGGCACTTTCATCCTGACTGTAGCCTACTTTGTCTGATTGTACTTACGGCCCTCAAAAGAAGGAAACCCATGCCTGCTACTATAAACCTAGCCAGGTACCTATGGCTGGAGAGGTCACAGACTCAAGATGAGTACCTTCTATTGCCATTTTCCCAAACTAACATAAATTCTAACTGCATTCTAAATGCATATCCTCATATCCACAAAACAGTGTAGCTTTCACCCCTATTAAAGAAGTTTCATTTTTGCATCAATTGGAGAACGACTAATGGTCAAAATGCAGAGAAAAAAGTGGACTTTGGGTTATCAGGCCAAATAATAAATCTACAATTCAACTTCTACATCTAAGGCTCAGAGAAAAATCATGGAAGATGGGTATGAAAGACTGTAAGAGCCAGAGGCCCGAGATGCTTGCTGTTAATGAATCTCCTAGATATGACAGGAAAAATGCACCCACGAATTCTCAGTTATACGGTTGCCTAAATAAGACCAGCATAATGACAATACAGGTTGACACACCAACAAAGATAGGAAAAATTCCATGAGGTCCCACCCCTAGATAAAGAGCTACAGGCGGTTGATGACTGATGGGAGAGGAAAAATCAGTTTCCTTCACAGATGAGATTCCTCATAGGTTGTCTATCTCAAATAAGCAGCCCTGGACATGTGTACACACAAGCAAAGCTAAATGGATTCAGTATGTTATATATGTATGTGTGTATACAAATACACACTCACATATGTGTGTAAATATATCCATATATATATACATATATATATATGTAATAATAATAATGATTTCATGAATGGGAGGGTCACAGCAAGAATGAAAGGAGAGAGAAGGGAAGTAGTTATATAGATGCAATGTTCATTGATAAAGGTCTCAAAAAAGATTGTAAAAAACAAACAAACAAATAGAAAAACATGACAGTAAATGCTGGCATCAATGTGGGGAAAGGGAAACATTCATTCACTATTGTGAGATTGCAAACTGATGCAACCAGTCTGGAAATCAGTATGCAGAATCCTCAAAAAGCTAAAAGCAGTTCTACCATAATGCCAACTCTACACTCCTTGGAATATGCCCATAGGACTTAACATCAACCTCCACAGATATTGTTCAGCCATATTCATTGCTACTCTATGCACAAAAGTCAGGAAATATGACAGTCTAAATGTTTACCAACTGATGAATGGATAATGAAAATGTGGTATAATTAAATAATGTAATATTATCACCTGTTAAGGAAAGAGAGATTATAAAATTTTCAGGTAAATGGATGAAGCTGGAAATAATCATTGAGTGAGGTAACCCAGACCCAAAACGCCAAAGTCTAATGTTTTACCTCATGTAGATGTGAGCTTTGAATTTTTACATATGTCTGTTAAAACTGGAGTACCCCAAGAAGTCAGGAAAGAAGTAAGGGGCCATGGCTGAGAGGATTTTGAAGAGAGAGGAGACAGAACACAGGCAGAATGGAGAATAAGGTGGAATGGTGAGTAGGGAAGAAAGAAGGGTAAGTTGGGTGGAGGATGAGAGAACAGGGTAAAGGGAGGATATAGGGAGTGGACAACTAACACTAAAGACTTTTGAAAAAATATATGTGCTGTGGGATGGTCTGTATGTCAAATGTGTTGCTGATTGGTCAATGAATAAATCACTGATTGGCAGTGGCCAGGCAGGAAGTATAGGCGGGACTAACAGAGAGGAAAGTTGAGAGAACAGGAAGCTGGGAGAGAGGAGACACTGCCAGCCGCCATCAGGACAAGGAAGATGTAAAGTACCAGTAAGCCACAAGCCACGTGGCAAGGTATAGATTAATAGAAATGGATTAATTTAAGCTGTAAGAACAGTTAGCAAGAAGCCTGCCACGGCCATACAGTTTGTAACCAATATAAGTGTCTGTGTTTACTTGATCGGGTTTGAGCGGCTTGGGACTGGCGGGTGAGAGAGATTTGTCCTGACTGTGGGCCAGGCAGAAAAACTCTAACAACATATATGGAGTTACCCTATAACGAGGGCAACAATGATGCTACTAGACACTACAGGCTAGCAAATAAAAGTCCAGTGCCAGGAATGTATTTCCTCATTTGGAGTTGTTGGTCATTGAGCCAAAGACAACACATACTCAAGTCATAGAACACAGAGAACTACAGCTGATACTCATCAGGAAAGTTTATCATTAATGGCTGGCTTTCATACAGCTGGAGTGTGCAATGCGCAGAGGAGAAAAGTAATCATCAATCTTACTGAGCTGTGAACCTGTGATCTACAATGACCTACAATGCAGCAGATAAAACCACTGTTACAATGTCATAGAAGAATCCAAACCACTTTCTGGTTGGATTTGAGGCACACTCCAAAAGACAGAACTTTTGCTTGGCACTGTTAATAATGCCAAGAACCCAAGGCTAGCTGACATAGGCTCTAGGAGAGAAGCTATTGCTATTATTCTGCTAAATGGATACAGTATTAAAATGACTCCTAAAGATTTATTGTTATACCCATATATTAGTGTATCTCTCCACCCTCGTAGATGTGATTAATACAAAGACCCACAGTTGGTCAACACGCAAAGAACAAGAGATGGCAGAGAGAATGCTCAAACTTAAAGAAGATATCCATGTCATATCACATCCTCCAAAGGGATCTTTTTGTCCCCTCTTCCATGATGATCCCTCATGGTAGGATCATCATGGAAGAGGGGACAAAAAGATTGTAAGATTCAGGCAGCGGACAACTTCAGAGAAAAACTGTTTCCTGGATACAACAGAGCAGTTGCACCTAAGAACTGATGTAGTGGGTAGCCTTTCCAGCTTAGATCTGTAAGTCCCAACCCCCACTGAGGCTTCAGTAACTGTCACGCCTACAAGGCGGGGCCAAGAGAGGGCCCTGAAGACCCAAGATTCGGATGTGCCGGCTCTCTTGTGTCCTGGACCCTGGACGCTGGAGGTAGACCAAGCCGAGTTCTCCAGAGAACACCACCGGACTGTGCTACATCTTCCCCAGACCCTGCAACCTACCTATTCCTTCATTTGTAAGTTACGCCACTAAATAAACCTCCCTTTTAACTACGTGGAGTGGCCTTAATAATTTAACCAATATCTAGCTCAGTCGGTAGTGCATGAGACTCTTAATCTCAGGGTCATGGGTTTGTGCCCCACGTTGGGCGCCAGATATTGGTTAAATTATTAAGGCCACTCCACATAGTTAAAAGGGAGGTTTATTTAGTGGCGTAACTTACAAATGAAGGGATAGGTAGGTTGCAGGGTCTGGAGAAGATGTAGCACAGTCCGGCGGTGTTCTCTGGAGAACTCTGCTTGGTCTACCACCAGCGTCCTGGGTCCAGGAACCAAGAGAGGTGGCGCATCCAGATCTCAGGTCTTCAGGGCACTCTCATGGCCCTGCCTTGTAGGTGTGACAGTTACCGAAGCCTCAATGGGGGTTGGAACTTCCATATCAAAGCTGGAATGGCTACCCACTACAAACTGACAGTGTCTGGGACTATATTCATGAGATCTGTATAAGATCAAGTCAGACAAAATCCCAGCAGGGAGAAGGTCAGCAAGTCCCATTCCTATCTGAGGAGTTACCGAGGGTTGCTGGAAGAGGGAGAGTCAGTCTTCATGAATGAGGTCTTAGAGAATGTGGTGGTTTGAATGAGAATGGTCCCCATAGGAGCACATGTTTAAAGACTTGATTCTCAGTTGGTGTAACTATTTAAGAAGGATTAGGAGATGTGGCCTTATTGGAGGAGGTGTATTACTGGGGACAGGTTTTGAGATTTGAAAAGACTTGTACTCCTAGTCACTCTCTCTGGCTCATGGTTGTGTCTCAGGATGAGAGCTGTCAGTTATTGCTCCAGTGTCTTCTCTGGCTGTCTGCCTGAGGTCATGTTCCCTACCACAACGGTAATGGACTCTAATCCTCTGAAACTGCAAGTCCCAAATAAACTCTTTGTACTAGAAGTTGCCTTGGCCATGATGTCTTATCACAGCAATAGAAAATAAACTAACACTGAGAGGCCATGCATGCTCCAATATCTGGCCCTACACCCGTGCACACACTGCACATACTGCCAGCACTAAATGGACTCTGTGGGTTTAAAATAAGGAACATATGAAATTGGGAGGGAATACTAGTTGCAGGGGTAGGCAAAGAATTAGAGAAGAAGGAATGGGGGATGATTGGCTTGATAAAACCCATTATACATATGTGAGAAATTCTTAACCAATAAGAAAAAAGAATCAGGAGATAAAAAAATACAATCTCATACATAGTTATGATATAACTACACACTATTTCTGTATGTATTCCCTATGATATAATTCTATAAAGTAGTCATTTAGAAGATATTCTGGGACATGACATTTTAATTAACTTCCTAATAACAATTTTCTATGAGATGAAAAATTTTAGAAGCAACTGAAACAAATAATGAAATCCTTTCATTTTGCATTTGAAGAACTGAATCATATGAATTAAATGATTTGACTAAGGTCCACATATGATATTCCTCTCAGAATACTTTTATAGAGACTTTAAGTATTCTTTTGAAGAACATCAGTTTTAGGATACTATACTACCGCCTGATATTTGAGCATGTGGCAAAACCCATAGCCTACATAAACATATAGAAAAATACATATATCATCTACAATAATAGGTTGCCATTTAGTGCATTCTGATGATACTTTGGCTCACATGTACTATCCACAGGGCAAAGAACAAAGATAGTTCATAGATAGAAAAAGATAGTTTTGTAAGACTATCAATGTCCTGCCTTACATTAGACTCATTTTCTAAAATGTGTACACAAATAAAAGTCCTCTGTTCATTCCATCTTAAACTTTCTCATTCCTTTCCTTTTAATAAATGCTATGCATCCATAGTCTATTGCTGATATGAACAAGAAGAAGATGATTTATAAGGAAATGTCTTACATAACTAAGATATGTTTTCATGTTTCCATATCCACACAGAATGAATGGATGATAGTATCTTTTCTAATTTGGAAGAATAGAGAGGAAACACAGTCATTAGCAAAATCATGATACCCTATGGCTGAATAATACTACATTTTCTTTTTTCAAGGCTGTAACACCAAAAGGTAATAAACAATAAACTTTATAATAAATAACATTACAATGTTCTAAGGAAACAGAAGAGCAAGACAAATTTCAATAACTCCTCTGTCATGGAGTTTTCACCAAATAGCTTCTTATAAGCTGGCTCATCTTCACTATGAACCTAATGGAAGAGAGCACTGTTAGGAAAACAATATCCTCTTTGTCCTAGCTACAACTCTGTATTTCACCAGGTCCAGCAGGACAGGCTACAGGAAGAGGCTAGACTCCCTGAGTTTCTGGTCTTCTCAGAGAGGTCAGAAGACAAAGGTTGAGCACATGATTCTTACAGCACTCTTCTCCTAGGGAAGTCTTTTAAACCCCCAAGAGGAACACACGCTGAGAAAAGCAAAGCTTGTTCTACCAGAAAACTGCTCTGAGAAGGTCAAAGTTAGAAAACAAGCTACTATACTGGATGGAAGAATAACTTACGAAAAGGTATGAATTTTTTTTTCTTGTTTGCTATACTCTTTAAAATGCAATGATCTCAGAAAAAAAAAGTTTGTTAATCTGACGGAACCAAGACAACAGTGTAGCTGAAGTTTTCCTGTGTCCCACCTCAACAGTGGTCAGGACAAATCTCTCACCCACCAGTCCTGCAGCCACTTGGACCCAAGTAAACACACAGAGACATGAAACCTTAGACTCACAAATATAGGATAAATAGGATATCTTCTTTAATTTTGCCAAATACAAATAGACTAGATATTATAAAGAGACTAGATATTGTAACTGTAATTCTTGCTTGATAATTGTTTTGTTATATGTAATTTTACTATGTTAAATTTAAAACCTTCCTTTTTGAAAAAAAGAAAAGGGGAAGTGCTGTGGATATCGCTCTGTATAAATAAAATGCTGATTGGCCAGTAGCCAGGCAGGAAGTAAGTATAGGCAGGACAAGCAGAGAGGAGAATTCTGGGAACAGGAAGGCTGAGTCAGGAGATGCTGCTAGCCGCCATGAGAAGTAAGATGTAAAGTACCGGTAAGCCACAAGCCACATGGCAACTTATAGATTAATAGAAATGGGTTAATTTAAGATATAAGAACAGATAGCAAGAAGCCTGCCACAGCCATACAGTTTATAAGTAAAATAAGTCTCTGTGTGTTTACTTGGGTCCAAGTGGCTGCAGGACTGGTGGGTGAGAGAGATTTGTCCTGACCATGGGCCAGGTGGGACACAGGAAAACTTCAGCTACACAACAGAGACAGTATCCATTTTGTTTTTTTTTGTTTGTTTGTTTGTTTCTTTTTAAGATTTATCTTATGTGTATGTGTGTGTGCCAAAGTGTATGAACATGCACCACATGCATCGAAGATTCCATGGAAGTCAATTGAAAGAGGGCACTGGACCTCCCAGAACTAGGTTCTTTACAAGAGCCATAAGTGCTTTTACCCACTGAGCCATTTCTCCAACCCAGCATCTAGTTCTTAACTGGGAGAAGCTGAGAGGATGCATGTAAGGCAGTAGCTACAGGGGAACTATGGCCTCACTCAAATGCTGAGCTCCTAGAGGAGACCAAGCTTCTGAAGCAAACAGCTTCTGGAGGCAGATGAGGAAATGTAGGAGGCTGTCAGAATTCTTAGTTGTACTGAGAAAGCAACTAGATTTTGTAGGACAGAGAAAACAAGTTACCCCAAGGAGCCCTGTAAATCCTCCATGCATCCTTTAGCTGGACCAGAGAGTATCTCCTTCTGTCATCTTGCTGTTGCTTTTAATTAAATTTCCGTTAATGTACAAAGAAATGGCTTTCACTGTAACATTTTCATACATGTCATTAACACCCCATTACTCTCCCCTCTCCTACTTTCTTGCTGGTCCGGCTCTACCTAGAAGCAGCACACCCTTCTGACTTTATGACATCCATTTCCCTCTCACTCCTGCCTTTCTACCAGCGTTTTCTTCATTCTAACAGTCAAGGCTGATGCTAAAAATGTACAAGTAGTCACACCAGAAACATCTTCCTGAGGATAATCCTCATGATCAAGAGGAAAGAAAAACCTCCAAATTCAAAGCAACAAAGGGATCACCACAAATCAGCAGAGGGAACAACGGTGTGAATTCCATCTAGCTGACGCACAAATCCTTCATACATGACTCCACCTTTCCCACCTTTTAAGAGGTGATACAAATCACAAGATGGTATTAAAAGGCTCCCCTACCTATCCCTGAGTCAGTGTCTCATATGTCTGATGCTGGCCTTGAACACCTTCTATGACCTTGAACTCTTGCTTCTCTTGCCTCTACCTCCTGAGTGCTGGAATTTCAGGTGTATGTTACCATACCTAGTGTATGTAGTTTTGGAAATGGAGCACAGAGAATTATGCATGCTTATGCATGCACTCTACCAAACTACACTTATGGTAAGCTAGCCCTTATGCCCAGGACTGTAATGTCAGACACTCAAATGGCTGAGACAGGAAGATCATAATTTCAAGGTTAGCCTAGATTACAAGGTGAGTTCAAGGCCAGTCTGGGCAACTTAGAATTAGTCTCAAAATAAAAGATAAAACAAGGAGCTGGATGCCGGGCGATGGTGGCGCACGCCTTTAATCCCAGCACTCGGGAGGCAGAGGCAGGCGGATCTCTGTGAGTTCGAAGCCAGCCTGGTCTACAGAGCAAGATCCAGGAAAGGCGCAAAGCTACACAGAGAAACCCTGTCTCGAAAAACCAAAAAAAAAAAAAAACAAGGAGCTGGGGCTACAGCTTAGTGATAGAATAGAATGTCTGCATAATGTGACAGACACATACACACACACACATACACACACACACACACACACACACACACACACACACACACACACACACAGCTTTACATGAGGTAATTCTTAAAGTCCTATTTATACTTGTTAATCTATTTATAGTTTTGTATTTTATTGTTTACCTAATCAAAAAGTAAACATTGATTACTTAATAAGATTGAAAATTTTTAAATTATGAATACTGAAAGTTAATTCCCTTAAAGATACATAAAGTCTAGAAAACAAACAAAAACAAATCAAGCAATCACACACCTGAAGAATTTTTTCATTAAGTCGCTCTGAAAATTTAAGACTTTCTGGAGTTCCATCAAGAAGAAAAGCCACTGTTGGGGCCTGGCATGCATTTGTTCTGTCCTTGTCCTGAAGACGCCTCTTTTCCTCCTCGGCCAAGAGAACAGACAGGAACTGGAGGCTGGCAATACTCAAGGCGGGGCACCTGACTGACAAGTCCACACATCTGCACAATGTATCTAAAGGGAGACGATGACTTCAGATGCAAATGTTTGAAAACCTCAAAATTAAGGAGTGAAGTATTCAAATTTGTCTTAGTAGTTAAATTATAGCATTCTTATTTTTAATGATGCAAAGGTACCAATAGCACACGGATAAGAAATATCAAGTTTTAAAGACAGTATTAAGGCAATAGACTGAGTTAAATCTATTTAATTTTTCATTATGTGAGTGTTTTTGTATGAATACACAGACAATGTATGGATGACTGCTTTGAGCTAACATCTAAAGTTCTGAGAATTTTGATTTCAGTACTATGAAAATGTTAGCTAGAGCTTGGAGATATGGCTGAGGTATGGCTCAGCACTTGTCTAGCATGTATGTGGCCCATATGGAAGCCTCTATTTTATATGTTTCCTAAAAATATATTTTAAAAATAATTAAATAAAATGAATGCTAAAAAGACTAGCAAATGTTAGACATAAATACTATGTAAAATCTTGCTGTGTTAAAATTTATGAGACTATAAAGAAATCAAAGTTTACTACCTTAAAAAATAGTCACTTACTTACTTTAATGAGAAACAAAAAATAAAAAAATAACCTCATTTTTGGTATTTCCATGGTATAAAAATGCCTCGAGAAAATTTATTTTAGAACTTCTCATGTTTTATATGAAATTCCATGTATGTACATTTAACACAGAATGCCTATAGCAAAAAAAGGCCTGATTTTTATGGGAAGAAAAATAAATCTAATTGTTTTATAAACTTAACATGTGTGTTTTCATGAAACCATAGACTTTTCTTCTTACTTGGTTTTTGGCATACTGAAATTTATTGCAATTTTCCAAATCTGCGTTTTGGGGGAAAGGAGGCTCATCAGGAGTATTGCAAATTCTCAAGTCAAGAGTCCTGCAATTCTTTCATATGCCATGCCATAACTACATGGAAAATTTACACATTTAACTGGGAATAAAGACTTATCTTATTTTTATTTGGTGAAAGACCCAATCATTCAATGATCTTCTTACCAATCACTGCCTCCCAGTGCTCGGCAAGAGTTGAGGTAATAAGAAGAAGGAAAACAGCACCAGCTTTCCTCAGGAGTGTGGCCAGAAGGTCAAATAAGTGTGTCCATGTGCGATGAAAAGCCAATACTAACTGTACATCTGTAAAATTAACCAAAACACTTCAAGTTATTAACAAATGAACTCTTCAGAAATACATAACTCTGCACACACACTTGTCAAACAGAAAAGCAGTAATCGCCCAGTGGCTCAGGTGCAGGACACACCAGTCAGAAGAGTGGCCCGCCTGCCAGCTGAACTGCCCCACTCCCCAGATTCTGTTCCCAAGGCCCATCCCACAGCCCGCTAGCCCCACCTCACTACCCCACCACTGCTTAGCCCTGCCCTGACCCCAGCAGACTCCTGATGCTCAGATGCAGGCCATACCAGTCAGAAGAACCGGTGAGTGACCTCCCTGCCAGCTGAACTGTCCCACTCCCTGGATTCTGTTCCCAAGGCCCATTCCAGTGCTCAAGAAAAGCAATAATCAGTATTTTCCTAGTTAGGGTTTTTATTACTATGATAAAACACTATGACCAAGAGCAACTTGGAAAGGAATGGGTTGAAATAAACCCATAGATTTCAGCTAACAGTGACATCTTCAAACCCTTCAGAGATCTACAGAATATGGCATTTGAAATGTTTTAATAACTTAGAAAATTTTACTTTTTGTTATGACTATGAGACATGTTGGCTCCTGGCCGTACAAATCTACTTCAGAGAAAATATGAGCATCGAAGAAATTGCATATGGAGTTAACTTTCATTGTGGCAAAAGTTAGCCACTGGACAACAAAGTATCCTCGAATCAACTGCTGACAACAGGACAAAATGGACAGACAGGACACGAAACAAAAGACTACTGATTCTTGCCAAAACAAGTGTGGTTATGGCTTTGTCAAAAGGCATCTTCTGAGGCCAGGACAATATGGCACCATCCCTGAAGTGGCCTTCGCATTCGGAAAAGGTACAGTGCCCTTTTCTTCGAAGGCAGCTGAACAGGCAGTGGGCCGATGACTTCTGATGTGCAATGGAACAGCAGCTGAAACAGTCTTGAAGAGTAACTAAACTCACACCTCTCAATAGTAGACTGGCATTTTTTTGTATTTTTGTTTTATGATGTCATCTTTTTTTATTATTATTATTTTATTTTATTTTACAATATAATTTAATTCTACATATCAGCCACGGATTCCCTTGTTCTCCCCCCTCCCGGCCCCTCCCCTTCCCCCGAACACACCCCCTATTCTCCCCACCGCACCCCCCATTCCCATTTCCTCCAGGGCAAAGACTCCCCTGAGGATTGAGATCAACCTGGTAGACTCAGTCCAGGCAGGTCCAGTCCCCTCCTCCCAGGCTAAGCCAAGCGTCCCTGCATAAGCCCCAGGTTTCACACAAGCAACTCATGCACTGAGCACAGGACCCGGTCCCACTGCCTGGATGCCTCTCAAACAGAAAAAGCCAATCAACTGTCTCACCTATTCAGAGGGAGTGATCCAGTTGGGGGCCCCTCAGCCATTGGTTCATAGTTCATGTGTTTCCATTCGTTTGGCTATTTGTCCCTGTGCTTTATCCAACCTTGGTCTCAACAATTCTCGCTTGTATAAACCCTCCTCTTTCTCGTCAATTGGACTCCCAGAGCTCTACCTGGGGCCTGGCCGTGGATCTCTGCATCCAGTTCCCTCAGTCACTGGATGGGGTTTCTAGCATGACAATTACGGTGTTTGGCCATCCTATCACCAGAGTAGGTCAGTTCGGGCTGTCTCTCGACCACTGCCAGCAGTCTAATGTGGGGGCATCGTTGTGGATTTCTGTGGGCCTCTCTAGCACTTTGCTTCTTCCTATTTTCATGTGGTCTCAACATCCCTAATTATCAGGGAAATGCAAATCAAAACAACTCTGAGATACCACCTTATGCCTGTCAGAACAGCTAAGATCAAAAACACTGAAGACACCTTATGCTGGAGAGGATGTGGAGCTAGGGGAACTCTCCTCCACTGCTGGTGGGAATGCAAGCTTGTACAACCACTTTGGAAATCAATATGGCGCTTTCTTAGAAAATTGGGAATCAATCTCCCCCAAGACCCAGCTATACCACTCTTTGGCATATACCCAAGGAATGCTCAATCATACCACAAGGGCACTTGCTCAGCTATGTTCATATCAGCATTGTTTGTAATAGCCAGAACCTGGAAACAACCTAGATGCCCTTCAACTGAAGAATGGATAAATAAAATGTGGTACATATACACAATGGAATACTACTCAGCAGAGAAAAACAATGACATCATGAGGTTTGCAGGCAAATGGATGGATCTAGAAAAAATCATCCTGAGTGAGGTAACCCAGACGCAGAAAGACAAACATGGTATGTACTCACTCATAGGAGGATACTAGATGTGGAACAAGCATGACTGGACTGCTACTCACAACACCAGGGAGGCTACCTGGAAAACAGGACCCCAAAAAAGACACGGGGATCGCCCAATGATGGAGAAATGGAAGAGATCTACATGAACAGCCTGGATGTAAGTGGGGGTAATGAAGGGCGAGGGTCGAGAGAGCTTGGGGGAGCGGGAGATCCCAGCTGGATCAAGAACAGAGAGGGAGAACAAGGAATAGGAGACCATGGTAAATGTAGACTGGCATTTAATAGAAGGCGAACAGGATGCTGAGATGAAGCCACACACACACACATAGCAAAGAAGAATAGACAGCTGAATTAAAAAAACATCAACAATTTCCAGAATTTAAAATCCTGAATCATGACATGACACTAGTGGAATTCAGGTGTTTCTGGTACATGGACTGCTCTCACCCAATGTGAGGTTGAACTGTTGACCTTGTGGACATCCTACTTCACAAATGAGTCTGTCAGATATGCTAAGCCTATAGGCTGAAGATGATGCCCCAACACTGCAGAGAAACCTCAGGTGACTGTCCAGGCAGCTGGCTGTTTCTGTCAACTCACATTTTTTTTTTTTTGGAAGCTGCACTTCCTGTTTTTATTTTTTATTAGGTAATATTATTTCCTTCTTGGGTCTCTAAGAGAGTTGAAGATTAGTTAGAATAGAAAGTGAATTAGATACATTTTGGACTTACCAAAATAGGATAGATAATGGAATTATTTTCTCTGAATATGTCAAATACAAATGGACTAGACATTGTTTAGGTATTTATTACTTGTATATATGGTATATAGTTATTGTACTTTTGTATATAGTTTTTCTTATGTTAGTTATAAGCTTTTTCCTTTTTTCTTTTTATTAAAACAGAAAAGGGGAAATATGGTGATATTTTAATTGTACTGAAATGTGATTTTATTTGTATGTTTATAAATGAAGTTGCCTGGGGGTTAGAGCTAATAGCAAGCCATAGCAGAAACTGGGTGGTGGTGGTGCACGCCTTTAATCCCAACTCTTGACAGGCAGAGCTAGGCAGATCTCTGTGTGTTCAAGGATACAGCCAGCATGGAGACACACGCCTTTAATCTCAATACCAACCATAGAAGACCTGGAGGTCTGTACAGACAGGCAGTGATGAGGAGGTCATGTGGTTGGGTTTACAATCAATAAGAAGGCAGAATAGAAAGTCAATAAAAAAGACAAACAAACAGGAAGTAGGTCTCTTGCTGAGGAGGACAAACAGCAGTGAAGGGTAAGGTTTTTAGCTCTTAGCTATTGCTCTGACCTCTTGGGCTTTCATCTTTGCATTGGCTCTGTGTTTCTTATTTAATAAGACAGTTACACCTACCGTGACACATTGCCATCTATCACTAAGGAAAGTCAGGACAGGAACTCAAACAGGCAGGAACTTAGAGGCAGGAGCTGATGCAGAGGCCATGGAGGAGTGCTGCTTACAGGTTTAATCCTCATGGCTTGCTCAGTCTGTTTCCTTATAGTGCCGAGGACCACCTGTCCATGAATGGCACTGCCCACAATGATCTGGGCCCTCTACATCAACCATCAAGCAAGAAAATGCACCATACGCTTGCCCATAGACCAATGTGATGGTACATTCGCTCAATCAATGGTTCTCTTCCCATATGATTCTACCCCGAGTCAAGCATAAAAACCAGCCTGCACAATTATCCAAGTTACTACAATTAACTTCATTTTTTCTTCTGCTTCTTAAAGGTATGTTCCTCAATCCTTCTACAAAGTTACACAAGTCATCCTCTCATTAAAATATGGTCAACAACAATCAGAAATTGTGATACAGTAAATATAAACTACAATTTCAAAACTGCACAGTAGGCACATTATAAAACATGACAGTGTCTATTTCTGTAAAACAAACTTTCCTCTTATTTTCTTTATTCCCTGAAGCATCTCTGTGCAGAGATGAAAAGGACAGCCCAATGTGCTAAGGTCAAGGCAGAAGAGAAAGAAAACTTTCTTTGAAGAGCCAAGCAGAGAATTATTCCACAAAGAAAGCTACACTACAAAGTGGACTGAGCACGGCTGCCTGTGTGGACCCCATGTTAGAGAAGTTGACCTTCCACAGTGAGGATGCTGTCTGTGTAAACGGAAGTTGGACAGCAGTGTCTGTCTATGGAATCTCTCCGGTGACACATTTGCAGTTCTGTCAACATTCATCAAACTTCACTAAAGTAAGCTAGAGACATTGTCGAGGCATTCCTCAGCACCAACGAGGCACTTGGAGAGAGAACCTTTCAAGGATTCAGGTCACAACCAGTCCTAGGGCTCCTCAACTACCATATCACTAAACTCACTAAGAGGTATTTTAGATGTTTGCTCATTGCCAATCACATAAAAATTTAATTCCAAAGATATGCTGTGTACTCACATATTCATGTACTACATGCATATTTGTAGTACCCCTTTAAAAATTCATAAGTACTCTTTTTATTCAATAAAGGCTTAGGAATGGTAAAATATTTAAGTTGGAAGGTAAATTTAAAATGTTATTAACATTTAACTTTATTACCGTACTTACTAAATATTTTAGTTAAATTTGTTTTTGCATATTATAAGGAATTGAATTATATATTTGAATTAACAAATCATATAAATATATAGTATACTTATCGATATAAATATCTAACATACCTGTATATATTAGAAATATATGGAAACAGAAATATAGCCAAAGTTTAATAAAAATCATTCACAAATTAGTTTCTAAGAAAACAATTTAAAAATACTTTCCTTAAGACAGATTTTTTAATGAACATTTACACTTTTGCAAGATACAAGTAAAAAAACTTAGCTGCTAAATGTACCTTCAGATATTATTGATAATTTTGTCTTGCAGTACTTTTTGTAACTAATCATAGGATTAAATATTCTTTATGATAAAATACATAGGAGGAACAATAAAAAATATCTGTAGGGCCACAGTAGTAGTCACACCATCTCTTGTCAGGTGTACTAGATCAAGTGACTCATCATCTTCATCATAGTTTGGTGCACTCAGGTTGCAACACTTTGCACATCTTCATAAACTCAATGTCAGTGTTGGTCAAGTAACAGCCACAAAAACCCTACAGCTTAGCTGTCCCCTGTTGGAGGAGGGGATGAGGGGTAGGTCGGGGGTGGAGGAAAGGTTGGAGGGGGAGGGAGGAGGGATGAGAGAGGGATCTGTGGTTGGTATGTATGCAGACTGTAGCATGTGTTTCAGCTGACAGACAGAAGAGACTTTTGGTCCATTTTTTTTAAGCTTCTCATCTGCCCTAAGTTTCTCCTGGAGCTACTAAAAATCATTCTAATTATAAAACATACCTTCAAAACCTCCCAAAATACTGGGAGAGTTGGTGGGGGGTCATCTGGAGGAGAGTAAGATTTGCTCCCTCAATATTGTTCACTTCTCATCTACACTGTAAAAACAAAACTTAGCTAAAGTCCCTATTGCTGAAGACACCATGTAATTTGGACACAGGACCCAGAGAATCAGAGCTAGATCTGACCTGAAAGCCTCTTCTCTGAAAACACATTTCCTGGTAGCAGAAGGCCCCATTCTAGTTTTCAAAGGTGGGAAGCAAGCAATCGTCCTAACCAGCTAAGGTGCCTATGAACTACCACAGTGACTAGCATGGCACAATAGCCCTAAAGGTACAGTACTGCCATCCATACCTTGGTGGTAACCAACAGGTCTCTAATGGATTTCCTCCACAAGAAGAAAATAATGCCTACTACTGTAACCCTAGCCAACTATCCAAGGCTAGTGAAGTCATGGATCTTGTACGAAAACTTACAGCTGCCAATTTACTAACACAGCACAGTCCCTAACTGCATTCTAATACTTGGCCTTATACTCACAAATAAGTATAGGTCTCACCTCTCTGCAACAAAAAGAAATGTCTCATTGCAACAGATGGAAATCATTACAGAAAACCACATTTGATCAAAATTCAGAGACCAAGAGGTTGTGTGGTGCCCAGTCCCAACTGATACATCTACCATACAACACCTGTCCCTAAGACTCAGGTACCACTGCAGAAGAACAAGGCGGAAAGATTGTAAAAGCCAGAGGAACAAGAAGTTCGCTGTAAGATTTTATCTCCTAGAAATGTCAGAGAAGCTGCAACCATGAAGTCTCATCAACATGACTGCCTAAAGAAGACCTGAAGGACAATACCAACAGACATGCTAGAATGGAAGGGGAAAATCTCATGGGCTTCAACCCTAGACAAAGAACTAAAGTCATATATGGAATATTGATAGTGGGAGAAATAGTCTTCCTCAGGAAAGAACTCCCAAATTGTTTATCCAATACCGAATGGCCTATCCTGAAATCATATACAGATCAATAACATTATACAAACTCAGCAGGTTATGAAAGATAACAGAGGCCATGAATTTGAGAGATAGTGGGGGATGGAGACATGGGAAGAGTTGGAGGGAAGAAAGGGTAGAAAGAAAATGATGTGGCTATATTTTAATTTTTAAAAAAAAATTAATAAAAACTTACCTAATACATCTTTGGTGCACACAATGAGAACTCGGATGACATTAGTGATAAGAGGTTTCAAGAGCTCATCCTGTGTCACAAGGTTAGGATCTACCAACAGACAGGACTGCAGAAGCTGGGACAAAGAGGACAGGTATTCCAAAAGAAAGGAAGCCTATTTACAAAAAGACATAGAATACAATGAATAAGTAGATCTCATGAAAAGCCAATCTCAGTGGCATCATGGTGTTTTACTTTTCTATATGTTGTAAGAAATCATTAAAATACACTTATTAAAGCACTAAAAAGCACTCATATAAATTATGTGCTATAAACTTAACATGCAGTAGCAAAGCATAGTTTCCAATATTAGAAGTATGTCAATAATGGTTACATCAGCACTATCAACTATACCACCAGTAAATAAAGTAGTATTTTCAAAGCTGATTTCAGTATTTCATTTAAAGAAAGTCTTTATATTTTTAAAGTAGGAACCAATATCCTAGAAGAAGCACAGAGGATAATTAAAGCCAAAGTAAACTCATTTGTAAAGAGAAATCTGCTTACAAAAATATCCCTCAAAGTGCAAAAGAATGGAAGAAAATACATCTATCCTAACAGCCTAGCTAATGTTATCAATAAAATTTATTGTTGCTTTTAGTTATCCTTCAGTATAAAAACAATATTCTTAAATGTAAGGGAAAAAATTAAAAAACTATCTCTGGACTTTTCTTAATGCTAATACTATAAGTAATACCTGGTAAATGTTCTTTTCAAACTTCCTCTGGACAGACAGCAGTTAAAGAACAGCAGCAATGTCTTATGTAGTTACTGTTCTTAAGCAGTACATCCTTACAAGGGAATTTTACAGAGCTATGCTGAGGTCAGTTCCTATGTCTTTTCACTCATCTTAGTCTGAGGCTGTGAGAACATAATTAGGAGCTGGGAACTGGTCTCCACTTCTGGAGGTGTGCATGTCTCTATGCTACGCAGCCTCAAACCTTTTAAAAACAATTGCTCTCTTACTTCTTCTATGAGTTTGAAATTCCATTATAGAATATGCTAGCTTATTTTATATTATATAAAAGTATATGTAACTTTATCCTTCGCAAATTCCTTCTACAGATTTTGAAATTTAATTTGCTTATTTCTATAACACTTTTGTTGTTCTTTTATCTTGTTGGAGACAGGGTCTAATGTAGTCTGGGCTATCCTACCACTCACCACGCACTTGAGGTTGACGTTGAACTTCTGATCCTCCTGCCTCCATTTCCCAAGTGCTGGGATTACAGGCATGCACCACAAGACTCAGCTCTGTTAAGTCTCTGTAATCTCTTCATTTTCTGCCCTATTAAAGTTATAGCAAGTCTAACCTCTGGATACTGGAAATATTATTATAATCAAGCCAGTAAGAAACATGAGAGAAAACTGAATTATTTTGTAAATTAACCATTTAAGATTAAATATTGATATAGTTAATTAACTATCTTTTTCTATTTATAACATTCTTAAAAACAAACAAACAAACAAACAAAAAGCAACAAAACCCCAAAACCTGCCAGTCACATACTCCAACACACTCTTGCCTGTAGCTGACTGTAACCCCACTACCAGCATTCTGCACCATGCTCTGCCTGACATCCATGTCTGTTCTCCTTTTCAGCCTTAGGTTTTTTTTTTTTCCTGACCATTCTGTAGCAACCACTCTGTCAGAGTCCAGCCCCGACCTGTCAAAGGGTTCTTGAATGGAGAAGTGAGGAACTGAGAAATAATAGGAAGAAATACAGACACATAGATGAAGAAAGAGAGACACAGGATAGCTTCGGGAGAGCTCTGGGTCAATACCACAAACGCATGGAGTTTATTCATGATGGGCTTTTTATACATTAGCGAGGGGAGGGGGAAAAAGAACTCCTCCTTTCAAGGTTGAGGTATAAAGTACCAACAAGTGTAGACCCTTTAAAACATCTGGTAACCATGCCTTTGGCCAAATCATCCTATTATGCAGCCTTGCTGGGCAAAGCAAGCTCAGACTTTCTGACCTTCAGTAAGGCCTTACTAGGGAACCTCTGTGGGTCCCACACTGCAACCTTGTGACATACCCTTTTTACCCAATGAATGTCACTCCTTCTTTCCATACCATTTGTTACTATCTGGTCCCATACTTCACATTTTATATGTGCTTCTATCTGTCTCTTGCACCTAATCCATAGATTCCTTATGGGCACAGATGTTTGCTTTGTATCAACAGCAACTAGAACAGAATCTGGTAAATGTCAGAGAATTTTCTGAATTCTTGTGCAAACAACAATGTACAAACATCAATTCACATAAGGCAGACAGCACAGTGGATCAGAGTGTGCTCTGGAACCTGCATGGCCAACTTTCCTTGCTCTGCTCAGTACTGTGTGAAATCCCTCAACCTCCACCATTTCCTTTGTAACGTTATAGCACTGATGATATCTCATGTGATTTTTGTGCATGTGTTTACTCAGACATGGATCCAGAAGTGTCTGTCACTGCTCTCATGGTACTACACTGCACACTCAAGACACAACTGCAGACAAGGTCTGCCCTCATTGCTAACTGTGCTTTCTAGCCTCGCTTCCCCTCACAGATTCAGCTCCAGCAATTCTGGACTCCTCGCTGTTTCTTGGACAGACCAACCACACTGTGACCCAGAGACCTTGCTATGCCTGCAGGACCATCTTTTTCACTTCAAACCACATATCATGATTGGGAAGGTTTACCCTGGACACTAAGTACAGGCCCCTGCCTCAGTATCTGGTGTTGTCCCTTGCTTTATCTTTTCTTCTGAAATGCTTGTCATCCTTAGATATACATGGATTTGCTATCTATTCTCTAAATATCAGGGGAAGGTCTTTAACGACGTAAGGGAGATTCTAAACCAGAGAAGGTATTCAGTGAAGATTTTTCAATTGTACCAACAAAAGAGTAAACAGAACATATATCTTGTGAATCAGCTGATTTAATAAAAACACTACACTAGAAAGAACGTGTGCTTCAAAAATGGCATGCAGTGGCCGGGCGGTGGTGGCGCACGCCTTTAATCCCAGCACTCAGGAGGCAGAGCCAGGCGGATCTCTGTGAGTTCGAGGCCAGCCTGGACTACCAAGTGAGTTCCAGGAAAGGTGCAAAGCTACACAGAGAAACCCTGTCTCGAAAAACCAAAAAAAAAAAAAAAAAAAGGCATGCAGGCATGCAGAGTATTTCCAAGATGTTTTAGAGGCCTTCTATGTTCAGAGAATGCAACACAAATAATACTTCACTTTCCACTTTTCATCCCTTACCCACACAAAACAAATGGGATGTTAAATTTGGGCCTTTAAATAAAATTTCTAGTAGCAGCAACTATATTGGAAATTGCTAAGCATATTTTACATACAGAATCTAGGTAAGAACCCCCAAATTTAGTGAAGAGCTGTGAAGAAAAAAATTAAAATTTTTTGTCACCTTGTTTTGAAAATATACATGATGTTTTTAGGGTTTTTTTGTTTGTTTTGTTGAGAACAAGGTCTCACTACACAGCCCTGGCTACCCTGGAAATCACTATGTAGACCATGCTGATCTTGAACTCACAGAGATCCACCTGCCTCTGCCTCCCGAGTGCTGGAAGGTTTAGCTGGACTGTAGTGGTACACACCTTTAATCTCAAAACTCGAAAAGCAGAGGCAGGTAGATCTCTGTGAGTTTGAGGCCCTCCTGGTCTATCGGGTGAGTGAGTTCCAGGATAGCCAGGGCTACACAGAGAAACCCTGTCTTGAAAAACAACAACAACAAAAAGACATGTTAGTCTAACAATTTCAACCTAGGTGAAAATAACAGATATACCAGAGATAGCCTAAAATCATGAGTAAGTGGGATATACCAGTGTAGCTAGAGTTTTCCTGCCTGTCCCACAGTCAGGACAAATCTCTCTCACCTGCCAGTTCCACAGCCGCTCAGACCCGACCAAGTAAACACAGAGACTTAGATTGCTTACAAACTGTATGGCCGTGGCAGGCTTCTTGCTAACTGTTCTTACAGCTTAAATTAATCTATTTCTATAAATCTATACCTTGCCACGTGGCTCGTGGCTTACCGGCATCTTCACATGCTGTTTGTCATCGTGGCGGCTGGCAGTGTCTCTGACTCAGCCTTCCATTTCCCAGCTTTATTCTCCTCCTTGTCCCGCCTATACTTCCTTCCTGGCCACTGGCCAATCAGTGATTTATTTATTGACCAATCAGCAACACACTTGACATACAGATCATCTCACAGCATACCAGTGCCCCTTTATAAAGTGGTACTCAAAGAAATTTGATTAAACACTCATAACTGATTAAACAATGGAGTTAGGAAAAGTATTCACTGTTCTTTTCTTCCATCCCAGTTTCTCTATTAAAGGTAAAATTTTCTCCCATCCCAGTTTCTCTATTAAAGGTAAAATTTTTCATAACCTAGTTCAAAAAGCATGCAATACCACATATATACTAAGAGATTTCCAACTTTTTCTTATGGTTGGATCTCCTTAGAATTTGTTGTTTGGCCCTCCAGGCAAAGAAACCCATGATAAAAATGAGAGGCAGATCCAAGCTCCTTACCTGAGCCTGTGTATGTTCAACAGCAAATGATAAGGGTGGCGGGGTCTTGAGTTCCTGGATGCACATCTCTATGACAGAGGCATCCACAGTACTGTCAAGGATAAAGAATACCCCATCCATAGTTACTATGCTTCTTATTAAAGACAAAACATCACAATTTGAAGTGTGAATATAAACCTGAATATAAATAAAGAGAAATGACTTTTACAAGTAAATAAAATATTTAAGGTTTCCCAGAGTATTTCAGAAAATAGGAGAATGTTGTGTCAGGCAAGTGTGAAAAACAGAGAATTATAAAAGTGAAACTGTCATAGTTAGCATCAGTTGTCAATTTGACATATCTGAACAGAGGCAAAAACAACTGAGGAACTGCCTCCATCTTACTGTCCTGTAGGCATGTCTGTAGAGCATGCTCTTAATTGCTAATTGATGAGAGTGGGCCTAGCCCACTGTGGAAGGTGCTAACCCTGGGCAAGTGCACCTGATGGTTAAGGCAGCTGAACATGCTAGAGCGAACAAGACAGTAAGCAGCACTCCTCCATGGTCTCTGCTTCAGTTCCTGCCTCCAGGTTCCTGCCTCCAGGTTCCTGCCTTAGCTTAGCTCAACTTCTCTTGAAAATGATGGCCTGTAACCTGTAAACCAAATAAGCCCTTTCCTCCTCTAAGTTGCTTTTGGTCAGTGTTTTATAGCAAAAGAAAACATAGGTGTAGACAAAATTCTAAACATTCTTAGTAAATAAGAAACACAGAGCCAAATACAGAGGTAAATAGCCAAAGAGATCAGAGAGTCACGACTATCTTATCTTACCACCTTGCCACCATCGCTTCCCTAGAGAGAGACCTTCTTCCTGTCTGACTTGTGTTTTTATTGCCTTTCTGTTCTGCTTTCTCATTGGCTCTAAGCCCAGCCACATGACCTCCTTGTCACTGCCTGTCTATACAGATCTCCAGGTCTCTATGGTTGGCACTAGGATTAAAGGCTTGTGTCACCACACTTGGCTGTGTCCTTGACCACACAGAGACTGCCTGCCATGTGGTCAGATTAAGAGTGTGTACTACCACCGCCAGACTTTTGCTTAATGGCTATTTGACCTCTGATCTCCAGGCAACTTTATTTATTAACATACAAATAAAATATCACATTTCATCACAAATAAAATATCACCATACCTAGGACAGAAAGGAAGAATTTTATTTTTCAGTTCTTTCTTCATATCCCAGAAAAAAAGAAGGTAGTATGACTTAACAAAGAGAAGAAAGACATTTCTGACAGCACTGTTCAGAAGTAAAAAGAGAGAATGAAAGAGGAATGGACATATGCACGTGGTTAAAAGAAGGTAGACATGCTGGGTTACAGTAGGTGGATGTTAGGAAGAGAGAAGTCACATTCACTATATGCAGGTATATTATAGACACTAATTTTCCTCACACTCATCTCTTTAAGCTGGGGCCAGCAACAACCCTCTAGAGGATAAAGCATGTTCAATACTACAACACTATGCAAGGAATGAACTATAAACTTAGATATGCCTGAACATAATAGCCAAAGTTTTGCCACTATGCTAAAAACATCATCAGACACTCATTAATTTTAGGAAAATGAAAAATTTAAAGAACCAAGTCATTGTTTCCTTAAATTTTACCAGAATAGTTCTGATGAGTTTAGTTTCCCATAACAAAATGCATCCAAATAAAATTCAACAGTGATTTTCAACCTGGGAACATTATTCTGATATGACTGCTAGAGTCAGGAATCTTCAACCTCCTTCATGTCCAATGAAAAATAAGCAGGGGATTATACTACATGCCTTGTCTGTGCTAGAAGGCACATAAGATTTAGAACCATCTCAATTCTTTGAAGAAAAAAGTCTTTTTAATCTAAACAATCAAGCTAAGAAGCCAATAAAGGTACAGAACAAAGGGAGGAAATAACAACAGCAACTGTGAAGACAACTGGCAAGAGTAAAAGCCTGGAACTTAGTGTGTGTAAGAACAAATGAGAATACACTGTCAGGCACACACGGTCTTGTGTTCACTCATCTCTACTCCCATTTATCTCTTACCTACAGAGAAGCTCTATGAGGTGGGCTTGTTGAAAAGCATTTGCAGCTTCTCTAGGAGTAACTGCCAAGAGGTTGTCTAAGAGACTGCAGACCGCTGACAGAAGAGACGGGGTGACAAACATGCACTGCTTGTGTAGGGGGGCAGACAGCGACGAGTCACGAGGGCACACTGGTCTGGTTTCACATTGACCTGTGATTTATAATAGAGCATAAAAATTATTCAATTTATCTGGTGGTTATTAACAAAATTTACAACTTCTCATAACACAGGAAAGTTCCTAAAGAAACAGAGGTAGGTGGTTGGTTAATTCTCATAACTGCATGGCTCAGCTTAACCTTGGAGCTAGGGAAATTGACTGCTTCTCTTCCTAACCCCCATCCCCCGTGAGTGTACATGTGTACACACAGAAGGACTCAACATGAAATCACTCATGTGCACATGCACACATACACGAATACATGTGTATGTCCTGGGAAAGAGTAATATGAGCCAAGGCTAGAACACAGCCTTTTTTTCCCCCTGAAATTCTAGGGGCCAGAATGTTCCCAATTTCCAAAGACTTTTGGGTTTTAGAAAAGCACTAGGGTACAGTTGACTGTACATCCTTCAACACCTCCAATGGGAGCGTAGACATTCTTTGAACTACTTCTGTAGAGAAGCAAGCACAGTCATAACAGGGTGAATCAAGAAGTGAACAGGACTGTAAAGCAGCATCAGTCATTGGGTGTGGGCCAGTAGACACCTGTTGATTTCTCAGAAAATCTGATTGACAGAACTGTGGATTTTTACTAACTGAATCAAATGTGCCTCAACACCTTTTCTTATTACTTTCAGTCCTTGTTTATTCTTTTGAGAAAACATTTTGAATTAATTCCCACTGAAGAAAAAGCAAGAGTATAAGGAATTTTGAACTAAATATTTTACTTATCTACCTACCTGCCCTAGAACCTTTTATTTTATAAATTGTTTGTAATTCACAGATACATGCTTCCTTAATAACTTCTGAAGATGGAGTCATAGTCTTTAATTACTATAGCACCATTAGTAAAGTCAGGGAATTAACACAGACACTGTCTAATATCTAACTACAGCCCTTTTCTAAATCTTGTCAATCATTCCACAAATGTTCTGAAGAGCAAAAGAAAAAAAGTAACCTATTTGAAATCCCGTTTTGCATTTAGTTAACATGTTTCTGCTTTCTAAATTGGTAGAGTTCCTTGGCCCTGCTCTCTTTCCTGACCAAGACAATTTTATGGAGAATCTTTCTGAAGTTTCTTCACAATCAGATTCTCTGTACATCTTATCATGGGATATGACTTCTATTTCCCACTACTGGAGATACGAGCTTTGACTGTTTAACTAAACAGTACTACAGTTAGAACGAGTGTCTTGCACAGGATCCTGTTGCGAGGCACCAAACCCAATTGACGGCATGACGTTCAGAGGTTCTGGAAACTTTGGGAGGCAGGACCTACTTAAGGGGAGCAGGTCACTAGGACAAGGGGTGAGGGAGGTTCCTGGAGATATCTTGTCAATGGCCCCTTCCTGTTTCCCTCTCTACTGTCTGTCATGATGTGAATAGCTCCTGCCACTCAGTCCACTCCAATGTGCTGATGGAGTCCTGTGGGCTGAAACCTCTGAACTTCCTCTGTTTACACTGTTCTTTCAAAGAATTTGCTTGAAATGGCATAAACATTACTGAGACAGGTAGTGTCTAATAGGTTCCTCAACTGTAAAATATATTTTCCTTTATGCTAAAATGGCTACCAAATGGTAATTCTCCAATGAAAGCATTTTTTATTTTAGTTGACTTTCTAGCAGATGAAAGAGTACTTCCTTCTGATCACTTACTTATTTTAGTATAATTCAAACATTCTTAATCTGTATAGCATATTTATTTTGCTTGAATTATCCTAGGAACATTCTTTTCTATAGCAATCCTATATCTTTTCCCATGTATCCAATTAACCTCTGTTGCTCCAGGTTCAAGTTATTCTTTGCACATCCCATGCCCTGAAATCAAGCATTTGTTCCAGAGAGTTCTGATAGTATGGAGGGGAGAATGAGATTCAGAACCAAAGATCTGAGTACTAAGTATATATATATAAATTTCTATTGATATGCCATTGTTTTGAGACTGGAAATGTGTCCACTTATATCACTTATATGTATGTGCATGTGTATATGTATGTATGTATATGCACATACACATGGATCAATGAATCAACAAAATAATTCATACTGACAGCTCCAATTCTAATATAAATTTACAGGGTCCATTGAACACCTTTAGTCATTAAATATTTCATCATGGCCGGGCGGTGGTGGTGCACGCCTTTAATCCCAGCACTCGGGAGGCAGAGCCAGGTGGATCTCTGTGAGTTCGAGGCCAGCCTGGGCTACCAAGCGAGTCCCAGGAAAGGCGCAAAGCTACACAGAGAAACCCTGTCTCGAAAAACGAAAAAAAAAAAAAATTAAAAAAAAAAAATTAAATATTTCATCACATACACACACAAAAAAAAACCCCTTACACACACACACACACAAAACCCCTTTCATCGTCCATTGTCTACTTGCTCCTTTGCTCAGTCATATATATATATATATGAAAAAGTTTTAGGATTGCTAGTTGCAAAAGGTAAAGTAGCATCATGACTTGAATGCCTGCCTGCAGTTTTCTCTGCCATTAAACCTGAGGGTGAAAGTCTATGAATTACTAGAACAAGTTGCTTATATTCTGTTGTAGCCCACTAGGTTTCCTAGTGGCTGTACCCAGCAGGGCTGCATTAAGAGGTTGACTGGACCACAGGCCTGGGTACCAGGTGACTGTAACTAGCAAGGGAGAGGTCTTTCCTCGACCTCTTGGCATTGTTATAAATAGACCTTTGAAATAAAGTTCTGGGCTGGTGGATAAAGATCCAGGCCCACCCAAGTCTATCCTGTGTTTTCTCTCTGTTACTCTCCTCTCTATTTCTAACTAAGTCTCTTATCCCTCATTCCTCAAGAGTTCCTGGGGTAAATAAGTGTGGGGGCTGGTCCTCCACAGTATTCCACATTACTTTCACATTTTGCCAGTTTAAGTTTTCTTTTCTTTCTCTTACACGGTTATAAGAACCTGACTAAGCTTAGCCGTATGTGCGGAGTGACTATGCCCACTGTTGTGCCCTTTCACCTCGCTCTTACCCTCGTGTATTTCTTCCCTGACACCCACCCACTCCAACAACTGAGCTTCCTGCTTTCTTTTGTAACAAATGGGGACACACATGTATTTTTTATTATTTTATTGCTTTCATGTGTATGTTTGTTTTCTCCAAGTGTATGATTATGCACCATATGCATGCCTGGTGCCTGCAGATGCCAGAGGAGGGTGTCAGAACCCATGGCACTAGAGTTACAGATGATTGTGAGCTGCCATTTGGGTGCTGGAAATTAAATCCAGGTCCTCTGGAAGAGCAACCAGTACTCTTAACCACTGAGCCAAGTCTCAAAACATAGAAATCTACTATATACTCTAAGGATATATTTTTAGTGTATTTTGTGTGTGTGATGTCTGTGTGGGAATGCCCAAGTATACACATGTGGAGGTCAGAGTTGAAATTGGGTGTTCCCCTTTATTGTTTTCCTTTATTGTTTATGTACTGAGAGTCTCTCTCTCTCTCTCTCTCTCTCTCTCTCTCTCTCTCTCTCTCTCTCTCTCTCTCTCTCTCTCTCTCTCTCTCTGAACATGAACCTCAGCAACATATGGCTGCTCCATGAACCCGGTTTTATCTGCCTGCTTCTGCCCCCCCACCCCCACAATGGCCTGAAAAGTGTGTGTCGCAACAGCCAACACTTCACACGGGTACTAGAGGACTGCACAGCAGGCACTCTGCCCACTGAACCATCCCCCTAACCCAGTCGGATGCTTTTTTACTTATCAATATTTTGGTGGGGATTTACTATGTACCAATTTGAAGATATCTTCCTTGTTTTTTAATAGCTGAATAGTTCATTACATGGATATTAATTTGAAGCCACCCCCATTTATGGGAATCTGGGTGTTTGATATATTTTCTAATTGCAAATAATATTTCATTAAATAATCATGTGCATATGTATTTTCATACTTTTAGCGATGAGTCATGTGAAAATTCCTACCTATATGATAAATTTATAGATTCATTAGATACTGCCAAGTTCCCTTCCAAAAATGTTACACTAATTGTATTCTCTCTTTCAATTTATAGAAGTGTTGTTTTCCACAGCCTGGCCAAGAGGATGCACTGCCAGCACTTTTTAACGTTGGTGATTTAATTTAACAGCTAAGAAAGATGGTGTAGCATTAATTTGCAATTATCTGGTAATATGGGACCCTCATATCTTTTGTGAGTGTCTGCCTCATGTTTCTGTTCACTTTTACATGGTGCTAGTTCTCTTCCTTCTGAAGAACTGAGAACACTTTACATGCTTACAACGCAGCTTTCTTTGTAAGTTATGTTACAAATAGTTCCACTGGTTTGTCAAGGAATTTCTTCACTTTATGGTATTTTCTGCCATATAAGTTGTTGTTTTTTAATTATTATTACTAAACATAAAATGTGTTCCTTTTATTGATTTTTGATGTTGAAGCAAAATTGGAAAGCCTTCTACATAATTTTAAAGGCATCCATCCATGTTTTCTTGTAGTATTTGCATAAACTCATTTTTTACTTTGAAACCCAGATAACTGTGTATAAGATGTGTTCTTGTGTCAAATGGCTAGCCAGATTTCACCACTGTTTATCAAAAGATCCAACTCAGATCTCACTCAAAGATCTGAGTTGCCACTTTAATCATTATGGATACATTTCCAATTCTGTTTTTTTCATTGCTGGTAATAAAACATATTCAATTACATTTCTCAGTATGTTATAATATCCATGTAGGACTTGACTCCTTTTAGAGCATTTTTCTGGCAACTTTCATACACTCATTTTTGTTTTGTTTTAATTGTGAATAGAATCTTGTTTACCACAAAGAAATGTGGTGGTATTTTGACTGGACACTGTTCAATTTATAGATTAACACCTGATATCTTTTTGATGTCAAGGTATCCTATCTAAAAATAGTGGATGTTTTTTATATTTGTTCACATCTATTTTCATGGGTTTGGAGAATATTTTAGTTTTTTCTTCTACAACTGCTGCAGGGGCTTTTGAGATGAGATGGCTCAGCAGGTAAAGACAGCTGCTGCCAAACCCAGGAACCAGAGCTCAATCCCTGGGATTCACAAGGTGGAAGAAAAGACCCTACCCTGAAAGTTATCCTCTGACCTCCACTGCACAGTGTGGTATTTGTAGACACACACACACACACACACACACACACACACACACACACACTAATTAAAAATGCAAAAAAAAACCCTGAATATATTTTGTATGTTTCTTATGGTCTGCTCCTGCAGCTTTACTCCTTTGTTGCACTACAGTTGGTCTTGTCTACACTGTATTCACTAACTGTTTATAAGCACATACAAAATCTATCAATTTCTATGTATTATTTGCCATTCTATCTTAGTGAATACTTTACTATTTATCATTAATTGTTTAAAGATTTGTAAGCATACAAGGTAGATATTCAGTTAAGTATTTTCTATTATTAAACATTTTATTTACTAACACAAATTACTAGAAACCAAGGTGGAACCCTGTTTATGAAATTATTGGAACAAATATTGCAATGGAAATTCAATGAAGCAAACTTTTTCCCAAGAACATTTTCTATACATCAGTATTCACATTTAACTCCTTTTCAGAAAGTATTATTTCTTTTGGATCAAAAATTTAATGCTATCAAATAAGACCAACATACTCTCTATAATTAAAAGATGCATTGCAAACTTCATTATAAATACAACTTAACGCAGAGTTGGTTGTGATCCAAATACAAAGAGTGAAACATACTGGCATTTGTAAAAATACATTACAGGAGGTTGAGGATTTAGCTTATGCCTAGCGTGAACATAGCCCTGGGTTTTGTACTCAGCTTCAAGAAAATAAATCAAAATATAGTGCACATTGCTCATGTGAATTTCTAGAACATAAAGACCCATAGATCTTGTTTCAAATGATGGCACAGCCTTAAAGATTGCATCTCAACTGCAGTCTCTTCATTTTCAGGTCACCTATCATTAAGCTTTTCCAAAACGAGAATTTAAAAGAAAAAAATGGAATGAATATGCAATGCTTATTGACTCAAACACTAAATATTGCTCAACTAATAAAGAGCCATACAGCAATTAGAATTTTTTTCTAAACACTTCCCTAAACAATGAACTGTTTCTTTAAATGATTTATTTTTTTAAGTATGCAAAAGTGAGGGTCCACTTGAGTGCAGGCACCCTGTGGGTTCCCCTGAAGCTGGAGTTGCAGGTAGCAATAAGCAGCTCAACATAGGAGTTGGGAACCTAACTTTGTCCTTCTGCAAGAGCAGTAGCATTCTTGACTGCTGAGCCGCATCTCCAGCCTCTCAGACTTTTTGATAGCCAAATTCTCAATTACTACTTCACAGTAAGTCAACAAAACATTCTGTGTATTTATTCTAGATTATCCTAATATGTCTGTGATCTGTTTAATTAGTAATTTATTCTCCAGGTATTTAGTTTAAAAATTGTCTGTATTTTCTCTTTTCCTTTCCCCCTTCCCTACCCACCTCTCTTTCTATCTTTTATTAAAGTAGAATATCTTTCTAAAAGAAAACAGTAACTTGAGTGAACTCGGGAGATGAACCAATCAATGGGTAAAGTGCTTGCCAAGCACCACGGAGACTTGAATTCAGATGATCCATGAAAAAGCTGGGTATGGCAGCAAACATCTGCAATCCCAGTCCTGTGAGGTCAGAGACAGGCAGATCACTGGCCAGCCAGTGAGCTCCAGATTCAGATTACTGTGTCTCAGAACACATGATGGGGAGGGGACTTGGGCACACAATCCCACCCCCAGCCTTGGAGCAAATGTTAGCTGCTGGTAGAGAGACAGTTCTCTCTAAGATGGTAGCCACTGTCAAACTGACCATGACCCAGTGGGAGAAAACAAATCCAAAAATATTTGGAAAGCATGTTTTGTCTTGAAAGGTTTCATGGTGGTGAATGCCTTTAATCCCAACACTTGGGAAGCAGAGGTAGGCAGCTAGATCTCTGTGAGTTCAAAGCCAACATGGTTTACAAAGGAAGATAGCCAGGGCTATACTGTGAGATCCTATCCCAAAAATATCCCCTTAAAAAACACAGTTTGGGGGATAGAAAAGATGGGGTATATCTGGAGAGAGTGGAGAGAATAGGGGTGAATATGCTCAAAACACATACAAAGCGCAAAATTCTCAAAGAACTAATGAAGAAAATAAAAGCAAAAAGGCCTTTTTGGCATTGTGGGGCATTCAGAGAAACACTCTGCATGGATGATTCCCTGATGATAGAGAGCAGTGTTGAGCTATCTCCAAAGAAAGGGAGGAAATTGTGCTCAAAGCTCTTTAAAGGGAAAAATAAAAAATGCTCAAAAATCTTAACCATGGAGCTCAAGTGGACATGGTACAAAGGAAATGTGCAGCAAGTGTAGGACACACAAGAGAACAACATCTGTCCAAGTTAGGGGAGCTTACAGGCTTCCTATGGAAAATTCATGAGGAAATAAATGTGGGTCACACAGCTTCACCCTCACAAAATGATAAACTACAAGTTCAAAGGAACTTCGGTTTGAAAACCTCTTTAGTTTACAAATATTAAATTTTCCGTGCTGTTCAAAAATTAAGAGGAGAATGACTGAGAAAGATTCCTAACATTAACCTCTGGCCTACACACACACACACACACACACACACACACACACACACACACACACACACACACACACACACGTGCGCACACATGAAGAAGAAAAAAAAAAACTAAAGAAATAAAATAAGATTAAAAACCTCACACACAAAAGAAGAATACCTTGAGTCACAAACTGGTCAAGTGCTGTTTCAGGAGCGAATGTTGATGGCAGCAGAGGCTGAGTCTCAGTACTTCTCACTGAGGTTGCCACCTGTGAAGCAGGTAGGGTACTTTTCTCATTAATGTGGAAGCATAGAAAATGAAACAAACAGTAGCTACACAACATTTGCTTAAGAAAGCAAGTTTAGAATGAATTTTATCAGCTAACATAACTACAAAACAATTGCAATCCTGAGTTATAGCTAGTTTTCTGATAAGGGCATTTTCTATGACCCCCTAATAGGAACTGTTACAATGTCAATAATTCAGTAACTCAAAAAAGTCAAGTTTTAATCTGAAGCCCAATTAAGATTTTAAGTTTCTGATATAAGCAACTTATGGCTCTTGCTGCCTAAATGTTGAAAGGCTTAAGATATATACTTTGCTACCTAAAATGCATTGTTTTTGAGATTCTCACATTTCTTTACTACAGATTTGTTATGTACATGAGCGTTTTGCCTCCATGTACATATATTTATCATCTATGTGTCTGGTGAGCATGAAGGAAAGAAGGCATTGGATCCCCCACAAATGGAGTAAACTGAACCCAAATCCTCTGCAAGGGCAACAAGAGCTATTAACTGCTGGGCCATTTCTCTAGCCCTATTTTATTTATTATAAATTGTTTGTTTTTGATGTTTCAAATTGCATACTTAAGTTTAATGACGCCTATAAAAATCAGTGTAAATGCTGAAGAGACAGGATGACTCAGAATTTAAAAGCCCGTGCTGTTCTTCCAGAGGACACAGCTCCAATCCCCAGCACCCACACTGCTGTTCATGACCACATATAACTCCATTCCCAGGAGACTTGATGCCCTATTCTACCCCCCCCCCCAGATACCAGGCACACATTGGTGAACAGACGTACACACAAGACAAATAAGTAAATAAATAAATAATCCACAGACATAAAATAAAGTGTCAGAAAACCTTGCAGATTTAGAATTTAAAAAAAATCAGCAAAGTATTAAAAGATTTTTCTCTATCTTACCTCATATCAGAACTTTAAAAAAAAGCTTGGCAAAATGCTGACACTGAGTTTCAGAACAGAACATTATTAAAAACACTGCACCTAATAGAAATGCTGTAGAAAACAAACACAAATTTACCTAGAGGTTTATAGAGGAGGCTGTGGCCTTCTAAAATTGGATGCACTCAGCCTACTGTGTTTGGTACTTCTTATGTGAAAAATACCTCTCTCGGGAGGGAAGATACCTTTTTTTTTTTTTTTTTGTCATCAATCTTTTTCTCTGTGAAAGGGCACAAAGGGGGCATACCTGGAGAGCGCCCTTGTCAGTGTGTACACATGACATGGGACATCCACAGAACTCATAAATAAGCATTACTTATAACATAGAGACCACCAGGTCACATCTATATACACCCTGTGCTTATTCCTAGCTTATTGTACCTTTGATTTACAGTGATACATGAAAGCAAATACTAAGATTATTTTCATTTGTAGTTTCTGGTAGTAACGCCAATATGCACTCGAAGAAATTCATAGAAATGAAGTCTACATATACTTAAAAATCTACCTTTTGAGACATAAGAACACACACTGAAAAAATCCAGAGAATCATCAGTTCATACTTCAAAAACCTATACTCCACAAAGTTGGAAAATCTAAAAGAAATGGATAATTTTCTTGATATGTACCACACACAAAAATTAAATCAATACCAAAAAAACCATTTTAAATAGACCTATAACCCCTAAGGAAATAGAAACAGTCATTAAAAGTCTTCCCCAAAACCAAAAAAAAGCCCAGGGCCAGGTGGATGCAGCACAGAATTCTACCAGAATTTCAATGAAGAGCTAATACCAATATTCCTCAAATTGTTCCACACAATAGAAACAAAAGGAACATTGTCAAATTCTTTTTATGAGGCTACAGTTACCCTGATACCCAAACCCCATACAGACACAACTAAGAAAGAGAATTACAGACCAATCTCCCTCATGAACATTGATGCAAAAATTCTCAATAAAATATTGGCAAACCAAATCTAAGAAAACATCAAAAAAATCATCCACCATGATCAAGTAGGCTTCATCCCAGAGATGCAGGACACATAAAAATCTGTCAATGAAATCCACCATATAAACAAACTGAAAAAAAAAAAAAAACATGATCATCTCATTAGATGCTGAAAAAGTCTTTGACAAAATCCAACACCCCTTCATGATAAAGGTCTTGGAGAGATCAGGAATACAGGGAACATACCTAAACATAATAAGGGTAATTTACAGCAAGCAAACAGCCAACATCAAACTAAATGGAGGGAAACTCAAAGCAAGTCCACCAAAATCAGGAACAAGACAAGGCTGTCCACTCTCCCCATATCTATTCAATATAGTACTCAAAGTTCTAGCTAGAGCAATAAGACAACAAAAGGAGATACAAATTGGAAAGGAAGAAGTCAAACTTTTGCTATTTGCAGATGATATGAGAGTATACATAAGTGATCCCCAAAATTCTACCAGGGAATTACTACAGCTGATAAATACCTTCAGTAATGTGGCAGGATACAAGTCTATGGCAGGCCTCTTGCTAGCTAGCTCTTATATCTTAAATTAACCCATTTCTAACAATCTATGTTTTACCACATGTTCCACAGCTTACCGGTCTGCTGGCACGTTGTTTCTTGGGCAGCAGGCTGGCATCTCACTCTATCTCCTTTCTACTTCCTGTCTATCTGCTTGCATCTGCCTGCCTCTAAGCTGCCTTGCCATAGACCAATATAGCTTTATTTATAAACCAATCAGTGCAATACATACAGAACGACATTCCACAGCAGACCTCAACATAAATACAGTTACACTGAACCTGACAGAAGAGAAAGTAGGAAGTAGCCTTGAACACACTGGCACAGGAGACCATTTCCTAAATATAATACTGGTAGAACAGACACTGAGATTGACAATAAATAAATGGAACCTCCGAAAACTGAAAAGCTTCTGTAAGGCAAAGGACATTGTCAATAAGACAAAATAGCAGCCTAGAGAATGGGCAAATATCTTCCCCACCCCCACATCTGACAGAGGGCTAATCTCCAAAATATATAAAGAACTCAAGAAACTAAACATCAAAATACCAAATAATCCAATTTTAAAATGGGGTACAGATCTAAACAGAGAATTCTCAACAGAAGAATCCCAAATGGCCAAAATACACTTGTTCAACATCCTTAGTCATCAGGGAAATGCAAATCAAAAGGACTATGACATATCATCTTATACCTGTCAGAATGGCTAAGATCAAAAACACTGATGACAGCTTATGTTGGACAGGATGTGGAGCAAGGGGAACACTCCTTCACTGTTGGTGGGAGTACAAACTTGCACAGCCACTTTACAAATCAATATGGCTGTTTCTCAGAAAATTGGGAGTCAGTCTAGCTCAGGACCCAGCTATACCAATCTTGGGCATATACCCAAAGGATGCTCAATCATACCACAAGGACACTTGCTCAACTATATTCATAGCAGCATTATTTGTAATAGCCAGAATCTGGAAACAACCTAGATGCCCCTCAACAGAAGAATGGATAAGGAAAATGTGGTACATTCACAAAATGGAGTATTATAGGCAAATGTATGTGGTACATTTATACAATGGAGTATTGCAGGCAAATGGATGAAACTAGAAAAAAATCATTCTGAGTGAGCTAACGCAGACCCAGAAAGACAAACCTGGTATGTACTCATTCAGAAGTGGCTATTAGGAGTAAAGTATAGGATAACCAACCTACAATCACAGCCCCAGGGAGGCTAGATAACAACGAGGGCCCAAAGGGGTATGCATGGACTTCCCTGGGAAGGGAAAATGGAAGAGATCTCCTGAGTAAACTGGGGGCAGGGTTGGAGACTTTCACAGGGATGATGAGAACTTGACAGAGCAGGTAGGGCAGGCTGGGTGTGGGAGGTGGGTTGGGGAAGGGACAGAAGGGAAGAGTAAGGAAAGATATTTTGATAAAGGGGGCCATTTTGGGGTTAGGGAGAAACCTGGTGCCAGGGAAACACCTAGGAATCCATAAGGATGATCCCAGCTAAGACTCCTAACAATAGTGGAGAGTGTGCCTGAACTGGCCATCTACTGTAATCAGATTTGTTGACTACCCTAACTGTCATCAGAGAGCCTTAATCCAGTATCTGATGGCAGCAGATGCAGAGATCCATGCCAAGCACTAGGTTGACCTCCTGGAGTCCTGTTGAAGAAAGGGAGGAGGGGTGTACAAGACGGGGGGTCAAGGTCATGAAGGGGGACCCACAGAGACAGCTGACCAAGCTCAGGGAGCTCATGGACTCTGGACCAACTGTTAGGGAGCATGCATGGGACCGACCTAGGCCATCTACATGTGTGTGAGTTATGAAGCCTGGTCTGTTTGCAAGGATCCTAGCAGTGAGATCAGGACCTGTCCCTGGCACTTAGCTGGCTTTTGGGAACCTGTTTCCCATGCTGAATTACCTTGACCAGCATTGATGCAGGGGAGATAGGTCCTGCCTCAACTTGGTATGCCACGCTTTGTTCATGCTCCTTTCTGAATGGAGATGGAGGAAGAGTGGATGTGAAGGGGGGTAGATGGGGGGGGGTTGGGGGTGAGGAACTGCGGTTGGTAGGTAAAAGAAAAAATGTTAATAAAATAAAATAAATTCTCCCATTCAATAGAAGACATTAGCTTTCATCTTAGGTAAATGTAATGGTTCTGATACTGGTAAATGAGAAAATCCTGAAGGCTTAATCACAGAGCTTAAGCATAAAAAGCCATTTGAATGACTGTTTCATCTAAAATCACTCATAGATAAGCACTAAATCCCTTATTTTGTATTAAATTCAGATAATAGGAAAATAGCCTAATACTTGCTTATTTTACAAATATATTTGTTCAGATGACAATTGACAGGCATATAAAAATATTCTTGTCAAAGCAATCAAGAGAAATTTTATAGTTCTAAGAAAAAGCAATCAAACACCATGACTAATACCACAACCTAGGTATGAGTTGAATAATAAATATATCTGTCTCCTGTTACTAGCTCCGTTGGG